GTCGAGAACCCTAATTATCAAAGTAAAGATATATATGTATATATAATCTAATAATAATGAGAAAAATCAAGTACTAAGAAAATGTGAATGACTGACGGAATGAATACAAAGATTATTATACTATAATTTATATATATATATATATATATGCAATTATATTAGAATCATATTCACATTCTATTTAAACACCAAAACTTAAATTAAAATTTGAACGCTAAGGAGATCGTATATACTTGTCTATATAAATTGTAACTGTAAAAAAACATAAATTTAAACAAAATATTAAATCTGTTCGAATTTTATATATGTATACCTATAAACATACGCAGAAAATCAATTATTTTATGAATTTTAATTTTTTAGTAAATTGTTATATAATAAATATTTAATTAATAATAAATTAATATAAGGGCATATCTCTAGAACTTTTAAATTTTATGTTATCGCTCATTATGATACCTTAAGAATTTTTTAAATAATTTTTTAATACCATAATTTGACCAATTATAGGGCTTTTTAAATGTATCATGCGTTATATAATTTTTTTAATTATGTAGGAAATGACGAACGTAAGTTAAAGTGGTGAAATCGACAGTTTCTAGTGTATGATATTGACTGTTTTTTTTTAGTTTATAGACTGTAACTTTTTTAACGAAACATTGTGTGTCTTGTGGCTTGCAATAGAAGTAGGTGGGAGTGTAAAGAACTAAAAAATCCATGAAACAATGATGTGCCTCAAATTGAATAAAAACTATGTAGCTTCAAACTTGCGAGACAACTTTTTCAAAATTTCTACAAGTTAGCAGTTAAACTGATATAACTTTTTTAACGAAGGTTTTTGAGTAACGGCACAACGGGATTATATTATCTACCTAATAAGAAGTAATTTGAACCCATACAGGAATGTGTGCCTCCTTTACACAAAGAATGCAATGACTTCAAACATTAAATTTTAAAACGTAACTCAAATCAAAATACCACATATTTGAAAAGCACATGTTGAATTTTGCTTCTAAATGCTCCCAACTCATTGTAATCTCTTCTCATGCATTATAAAAGTATACAGAAAAATAGTTAACCTTTGCACACTTCATTAAAACTGTATAATTAATAATGAATATAAACCTAAACTGTCCGACGCATAGTTTGTGAAGAAAAGTAAGTATTAACTAATAGATGTGTTTAAATCTGGCTGATATTTCTCACTCGAAGGTTTTTGGGGTCGCTGCGACTACTAATCTGAATTTTAAATTTTCCAAAATTCAAAATGGCGAATCCAATATGGCGGACGACTTTTTAAAAAAGTGATCCCATTGGCCTCAAATTTGTTACTCCGGGGTTTTTGAGGTCGCTGATTATGAATCTGAACTTTGTTTTTCAAAATTCAAAATGGCGGATGACTTTTAAAAAAATTGATCCAATTGGCCTGAAATTCGTTACTCGGGGGTTTTTTGCGTCGCTGACTACGAATCTGAACTTAGTTTTACAAAATTCATAATGGCAGATTCAATATGGCGGATGACTTTTTACAAAATTGATCCCATTGGCCTAAAATTTGTTACTCGGGGGTTTATGGGGTCGCTGATTACGAATCTGAACTTAATTTTTCAAAATTCAAAATGGTAGATCCAAAATTGCAAACAAAATTTTTTAAAAAATTTTTAAAAAAATAATTTTAAAAAATTCAAAAATTGTTATAAACTACATTTACTTATGACTTAATAAACAATAGGCCATAAAATTTTTGAAACTGTAGCATTAAATCATTTTAAAGGTGGTAGCGACCCAAAAAACCCCCGAGTAACAAATTTCAGACAAATTCGATCAATTTTTTTAAAAGTCGTCCGCCATATTGGATCCGCCATTTTGAATTTTGAAAAACTAACGTCGCATTTGTAATCAGCGACCAAAAAAATCCGCGAGTTACAAATTCCAGTCAGTTTTAAACACATGTAGAGATTTTGGGCAGATTTTTTGCAATAAGGCCCACTGTGATGCCTAACAATGTGTAAAAATGAGTTACGCAAATTTTTTTATAGTATTTGATCAATACTGAAGACAATAAAATTTGTTTCACGAATGTGCCCTGAAAAAAAATTAATTTTTCTAATATCTCAAAGTTTAAAAGTTCTAGAGATATGCCCATAAACATTCTTCATTGACTATTAATAAATAATAATTAAAACGTTAATTAATAATAAATAAGAATATTAATAAATTATAAATTCTTCTTTAAATTATAATATAATAGGGTAAGTCCGGGGGAGTTGGCCATAGTTTTTTTAAAGGCCTGTAAAAATAAAAAGAAAGTGTATTAACTTTTTTTGCTAATTAAACATTGAACATTTAACTTACAAATAATAATAGAAATGAGAAATTTTTTTAATGCAAACAATCTTAAAATTAAAATTTTTTAAAAAACGCGTTTGGCCATCTCTCCCGAAATGTACGGGGGAGATGGCCAATACATTAAAATAAATCTTTAGCTTTTCTCTTTATCAAAATTCTTAATTTAAAGTGATTAATGTCTTCTTTTCTTCTTCTGACCACATTTCGAACATTTATCATTAAATTCAGTGCAATTTTCATGAAGCCAAAGGTGACAATCATTACACTGAATCCAGTCTTCGATAAGCGCTGTTCGTCTGTCTGTCTCACCAACACAACAAGGCTACAAGGTATTTTTTTGAGATATCAGAGTGGTTTCCAATTTATTTTTGTGTCCTAAACACGATTCCGGATTCCAAAATTGCGTATCACGTCAGGATTTTGAGTAAAGTGGGAGTAAAGTATCCAAAAACCGTGTTTTTGAGGGTTTTCAGTGTTTTTTTTCCTTAACCTGACGTAATAGAGACTTCTATGTAGGCTTAAATTAAAGCTTATATCTTACACTTTAAGACACATATGCGCAAGATAAAAAAAATTAGGTTCAAGTCACTTAAAAAGATTTTTGGAATCATTAGCCCAATTTTTTTCAAAATTTCAAAATTTTTTTTATTATGCGCATATGGGTCTTAAAATGTACATTTAGACTTTAATTTAAGCCTATACAGGGTGTTCCAAAAGTATGAAAACTTGCCAATATCTCGAAAAGTACGAATTTTCGTAAAAAATGTTCAAGACAAAAGTTGTTCCACACAAAAAGATGTACATCTTTGAAACCAAAAAATTGGGTCCGGAGCCCAATGTTGGGTCCTACAATGAAAAAAGTGGTTTACTTAAATGAGACCACTAATTTTCAGTATCAAATTCGTAATCCCCATGAAATTTTGCGTTCAGACATGTGGTATAAGTGCTAAAATATTGGGCCCAATCCAAGATGTTGGGTCCAAAATTTATCTACAGATAAATAAATTTAAAAAAATCGCATCTTGGAGGGATTTTCAGATCATAGGATTAGAAATTGGAAGCTAATTTTCCAATTGGGCATAGAGCCCAATGTAAGATTTCGCGGCCCAATGTGAGGCCCACAGTAAAGAACATTAGTTGTCTTAAATTTACGAAATTTAACGATTACGAAATGGAAGGAAACTAATTTTTTTACTGTAGGTCTCACATTGGGCTGCGGAATCTTACATTGGGCTCTGTGCCCAATTTGAAAAGTGGCTTTGAATTTCAAATCCTGTGACTCCAAAAACTCCAAAAATGCGATTTTATAAACTTATTTATTTGTCAAAAAATGTTGAGCCCAATCCCAGACATTTGGCCCAATATTTTTGGCTTTTGTACTACAAGTCTAAACCCAGAATTTCATAACTCCAAGATGCGATTTTTTAAAATTTATTTATCTGTAGATAAATTTTGGACCCAACATCTTGGATTAGGCCCAATATTTTGGCACTTATACCACATGTCTGAACGCAGATTTTCATACTGAAAATTAGTGGTCTCATTTAAGAAAACCACTTTTTTCATTGTAGGACCCAACATTGGGCTCCGGACCCAATTTTTCGGTTTCAAAGATGTACATCTTTTTGTGTGGAACAACTTTTGTCTTGAACATTTTTTACGAAAATTCATACTTTTCGAGATATTTGCAAGTTTCCATATTTTTGGAACACCCTGTATAGAAGTCTCTAGCACGTCGGGTCAGGGATAAAAAATACTGAAAACACTAAAAAACACGGTTTTTGGAGAATTTACCCCCACTTTACTCAAAATCCTAACGTGATACGCAATTTTGTAAACCACTCCGATATATATAAAAAATGTCTTATTTTGTAGACCTGTGTTACGATTGTTTATAAACGTTTTTAAGATTTAATTACACAATAGTGATTATTTTATTTGATCATATTTAAATTTGAAAATCAATATATGTAATGAAAATTGTCATTTGCCACAGATTTAATGTTTTTTAGCGAACACACGAATCTCAAGGGTGCCAATAACTTAAACTAATTTTTGGAAAAGCCTGACAAGAAACTTAAATAAGGACCGTATTTTCTATCCTGATTAATAATTAGGGCAACTTGATAGGGAAATTATAGGGCACTTATAAGGCTAGATGAAAAAATTCGTTAATAAGGCAACTTTATAGGTACCTTTATAAAGTATAAAGGGAATTAAAGTTTCAGAACATTGAATTTGTAAATTTAGTAAATTTTTATGCAAGTTAATTGCAAGTAATATTGTAAAATATTGAAACAATATTTCTAAAGAGTTAAAAAAAATTTCAAATTAAGTTTATTCGAGTCGTAGAAATCTGACAAGCGTTAAGAAAAGTTTCATTATTCAATCGTTTATACTTTATAAGCTTGTTAAGAAATATTTTGTATTATACACATTTTCTAAACTTAGAATTTCAAAATTCCAAAACTTTGATTTTTTTACGAAGCTTATCAAATAAATTTATTACAGTTTTCTGATATTCAGTTTTAAAAAGTCAAGAAAGTTAAACATGAGTTACCAAAAAGTTGTTGATATTGCCTGAAAATTTTATATATTTTTTAATATGTTTATGGTAAAATTAAAATAAATTTTTATTTATCAAATTTTAGCAAATGGAGCGATTTAAAGTTGTTGAAAGAGAGACGAAAACTAAAGCTTATTCCAAGGAAGGTCTAGGAGCTGCCCAGAAGCTTGATCCGGCTCAAAAAGAAAGAGAAGAAGTCAGCAATTGGCTGGCAAACTCAATAGATGCTCTAAATTTACAAGTATATGTTTAATTACTTCATTGAATTAAAATATAGTTATTAATCATATGTATGTAAGAAAAAAAGAAAGTTTTCAGAGTCTTTTAAATCTATTAAATCTTTATAAAAAGGACGTTACTGTCGGCACAAAAAGTATAGTCACTTGGCTTTGACGGCTTATAAGTGAAGTAAAAAAATTATACAATATTAAAAGAACTTGGAATCAGCAGTTAATAAATTAAATTTCTAAAATTTACAATCCGACATCGGAACCGACGTACCGTCCAAAATCTTACATCGTTTCCGATGCCAGAACCAACTGAATTTTCAACCGGGATAACCAATTTTATTAAATTGTTGAATAATGTTCAAGGAGTATAAAAAAATCAGGACTCCAATAGGATATTTATTACATTGTTCCAAAATAGACCAATGTAAATATAATGTTAAAAAAAGTGTACTTTTCTTCTTCAAAATCTCATAACTAACGAAATAAATTTTTTTAATTTCCTACAGTAACGTAGAAAGTCGAAACTACTGATTCCAAGTTGTTTTAATATCGTAAAATTTTTTACTCCATTTATAAGCCAACAAAACTAACTGATTATACTTTTTGTGCCGATTGTAGTTCCGTATGTTACTGATGTTACTGTGGGAAAGATAATTTTATATCAGAATCCATTAATTTTTCTATAGTAATTTTCTTAAACATTTCCGTGCTGTCAAGGTCGGAACACTTGTAGTTATGATGCGTTCTGAAATGTGAAATTCATTTTTCGTCGTAGGAATTTGCTAAAAAAAAGTCATTTGGGAGCGTTCATAAATGATGTTACGCACTTCTTCAAGATTTTTTACCCGCCCTCTGTTAAGCTATTTTACTATATTTTCTTATAGAAAAAATACACATTATATCACGTTGGCAAAGACCTTCCTCTCCCTCAGTGCTTATTAATATTTGTGAACGATCCCCTTTAATAACAAAAAAAATAAATACCTGTAATAATTTTGGTTGATCGACCATGAAAATATTGATTTTGTCAACTTCTTATACATATGCCATTATGGTTGTAACAATTTCAAATTTGTTTTTCGTATTTTTAAGTGTATTTCAACCTTTCTCTATCTTTTACGGAGCATTTCTCTCCATATCTCACCGATTTTCTACGATTTTCCAATCATGAATACTTTTTTTTGTTTTGAAATGCCCATAACTTCCAATTTTCTGGTCCAATCATTTTCCAATGTTCAGATGTGACAACAGGAGAAATTCGTCTTGCAGTGGAAGTTATGAGCAAAATTCAAAATGTGTTCCACCTAGACAATTCTCCCCTACTATCTCTGCCTCTCTGGTAACAATGTTTCCAAAATTAATTTCTAATACTCAGAATAATATTTCTTGCCTAATTTTTCACATTAAGAATTATTTAAACATTAATTAAATAAACGCAATTGAAGATGAACATTAAAATGAGAATATTATATTTTCATCAGCAAGACAAAAGGGGTTAAGCGCCAATGTTTTGAAATTGAGATTTTCTCATAAACAAATCAAGTAAATTCTAGTACCTGACATAGCTATGATTGTGTAGAATGAGTGTATACTCACACTAATCGGATATTTCCTGGTGCGTAAAGCATAAATATACAATAGCGTGCACAAACGTTTAATAAACTGTAATACGCCGGTATAAGGGTAAAGTAACAAGAATATGTGTTTTTCGGTTTCTGTAAAAACATGACCCCATTGATCATGCTACCCTTCATATGTCGCGTTTTTGGAAACATAAGTTCTGCGTATAATTTGGGTAATTTCGTGGGGGAGTTGAGGGTCATGCCTCAGATTTTTCTTATTTTTTGTTTATTAGTAGTATTTTAGGTCATAAATAATTGAACCAAATATAAATTGGATATTGTTATTATTTTTTAAGATATTAGCATTACAAATTTCATGCCATTTTTTTCACTTGATTATAACTCCTTCATTTCCTAAAATTTTTAAAATAAGTTAAGAACATTTTTTACTTCATAAACATTAAAGTTTAATAAAAAAATTAAAAAATATTATTTTTTAAAATAATTTATTTATAAATTAATGTTTATTTTTAATATTTAAATATGTGCGCACTCAGATTTTGTTCTAAAAAAAATATTTTTACATACTTTGGGACCACAGGTGTCTGGAAAGAAAAAAAAGTTTGCCTATGATGCCAAGAAAAATCATTGCTACCTGGTGGTTCCTTAGCACTCCCTGAAACGAGAAAACTTAACCCGAAAATCGTAGCTGTTCATTTAGAGAAGTTTCACTCCTTTCTAGGGGTGATTTTGAAATTTTTTCAAAAAACTTGTTTTTTAAGGATCAGAAAAAAGTTTTAAATTATTTTAATGATTTTTATTTGTGTGAGTGTGTTTGTAGGATCTCATTTTCTAGATACAAGTGATTAAAAATTTTTTTAATAAAAAAGAACTCGAATTCGTAACTTTTCTTTTATATAGGTGACGATATTGGAAGATTTAATTAGAAAATAAATAAATCGTGTTAATGAATTTATATGTATAGGACGATTGTTAATAAATAATCGCATAACATTGCAATTGTTTATAAAAATCCCTCTAATTCAAAATAGTTCATATTAGGCTTGTTGGATGCGGAATTACGTCAGCTTTCAATTGGTAACGCTGAATTACGATAACATTATTTGTTTATAAAATATTGCATTTATTATTAACATTAAATAATTCATTAATTAATATCTCGAAAATAACAAAAAGGGACATCTCAATATTTTTTGTAGTGAAAATACACATTTTTAACTTTCCAAAAAATCAAAATTCACTGTTAATTAAATTATCCAAAATCGTCACCTGTATAAAAAAAAGTTACGAATTCTAGTTTTTTTTATTAAAGAATTTTTTAATTGCTTGTATCTAGAAAATGAGGTCCTACAAACACTTATTTATGACCTTTAAAAAACAATTTTTTTTGGAAAAATTTCAAAATCCCCCTAGAAAGGGGTGAAACTTTTCTAAATGAACAGCTACGATTTTCGGGTTAAGTTTTCTCGTTTCAGAGGGTGCTAAGGAACCACCAGGTAACAATGATTTTTCTTGGCATCGTAGGCAAACTTTTTTTGCTTTCCAGACACCTGTGGGACCTCATTAAAAAAGACATGAAATTTTCCAGATGGCATCTGTTTTTGTTTTTAAGCAATAAATTGTCAAAGTTGAAATTATGTTGTTGCTGCTCCGGCAGCATTTCTCTTACTCTAAGTTCGCGCTGTGTCTCAGCGTAACCGAGTTGTTGCCGGCGCAGCAACAACGTAAATTCAACTTTGCCAATTTATTGCTTAAAAACAAAAACAGATACCATCTTGATAATTCCATGGTATTTTAATAAGGTTGCAAAGTTTGTAAAAATATTTTTTTTTGCAACACTAACCTCTAAAGTTAAATTTTACACACCGAAAAGTGTGTGTAAAGAATCTCTTTTTCAAACGGTGTGTAAAGTGATTCACTTTACGCACTGAAATTTACTTTACGCACCGAAATTTTTCTCACATAATATAAGGATTGTTTTAGACCATACAAAACCACAAAATTAAAAAACGAACTTTACTTTTAAATTTATACACTCCTGCTTAATGATATTTTTCCTGATCTTCGATTGATTTTTTTAATTCTATACAATCGAAATTATTCTAATAGAGAGTTGGAATTCTTCATAATAGGTACTTAACTTTAGAGGTGGGTGTTGCAAAAAGTGTTGTATGATATACGTGCATAAATCTGATTATACTCGTGCTGCAAACGTCACACTCGTATAATCACTCACTTTACGCACTTGTATCATAAATAACTATTTTAGAACAAAATCTGATTGCGCAAATATTTAAATATTAAAAATAAACATTAATTTATAAATAAATTACTTAAAAAAAATATATATATTTACTAAACTTCAATGTTTTTGAAGTAAAAATGGTCTTAATATATTTAAAAAATTTTGAAAAATGAAGAAGTTATAATCAAGTTAAAAAAAATGGCATGAAATTTGCAAAATAATAACAATATTCAATTTATATTTGGTACAGTTATTTATAACCTAAAATACTACTAATAAATAAAAAATAAGAAAAATCTGAGACATGACACTCAACTTCCCCACGAAACTACACACCTGTTTCATATCCTTTATATTTTTTCAAAAATTAGATGCTCATACTATAATAAATGCAATGTGAAAAAGTAATTTTTCTGTTTGCCAACAAAATTTCCAGTAGTTATTTTTATTTATCAGGGTGGCCAGAAGTCAGGAAAATTTGGGAAATTGAAAAAAAATTAAAGAAAATGTCAATTACATACTTTCTAAATGCTTAACCCTCCGTCAGTCGCATGATAAGAAAGCTCCTCATCTAGTTTCTTTTTTATTTATATATTTTGAAATACCTACATAAAATTAAAATCCCATAATTTCAGTACCTTTCATAGCACTCTTCTTTCATGTATATTAAAAGAGTTTTCGTGTTCTTTAATATTATTGTTTTCATGTTATTAAATTTAAAAGTACACGGAGAGAAAAATATAGCGTTTGTAGCTTGAAAGTTCTACCTTTAAACGCATGGCACATCTGCATAGTACGATTGCACGAAGTTATGCTTTTTTGGTATAGTTTTATACAACTGTACACTGAGAAAAAAATGCTATAGAATCTATAACACGCATATTCACATACGTTCAAAAGCAAATATAATTAACTTAATGCAATATGTAGTTCATTTTATAGCACTGCTACTGAACCAAAGAATACAGTTTCTGATTCAATGGCAGTGCTGTAAAATGAACTACATATCGCATCAAGTTAATAGCATCTGCCTTTGAACGCATATGAATATACATGCTATAAATTCAATAGCATTTTTTTTTCAGTGTAGTATAAGGCCACGACTCTTAAGCAAGAACGTCCATACAAAATTAACATATGGGATAACATCCCATACTACAAACGCTTGATTTTTCTCTCTCATGTAGCAAATGTCGGGAATCTTTGACACAAAGTGAGGAAACTTCTCACCATACGACTAATCACGTATGGTCAATTTGCTTTGTTATTAATTTTTATTTTTACAATATACAATAACTGAGGATAATTTAAATTTAATTGTCAGTTTATTATTCGTAATAAACATTTAAGAAAAAAATTGGCATTTTATAACTTTATTGGACTGATTTATTAGGGTGATGAGATTCCTCACCTGCAACTGCTCGCGTTACAAAATAAATTATTAGTTTAAAAAGAATTTTTAAATAAATTTATCAAAATTTTTCATCAATTTAAAAATTATTTACTCCCCATTTCAATAAATCTAAATTTAAATTATTTGAAGCGTTTATTGATTAAGTTTGTAGTCGATGTAAATTTAAATTCATTCTAATTATTCCAATCAATCAATACAAGAAGTTTTTGTAACTTGAAATTATTAGATTTTTATTAAAATTCATTAAATTTAATAAACATTTTTTATCAGGGAAAATTGAAAATTCTATACTTGTGGCAATCCTGTTTATATATTTCCAATAGTTTTTGAAGCTCTGAATTCGAACCTGAGAATAAAAACTTTCCATTACGTCAGAATTTTGAGAAAAATGTTGAAATCCCTACTATCTTTTTATTTAATCCTAATCTCAGTAGTTGAGCAAAATTTCTCTACCGAGGAAAACTTAATGAAATATCCGCGGTAAAAGTATCATCGATGTACACTGGAACCTCTGACGATTGCAGCGCGCGTGTCAAGGTTAAAGTTACGTCAAAAAGTGTAAACACTCAGGCCGTACATATTATGTACTTACTTATGTATGGGATATATGTTCGTATAAAAATTGAGATTAATTTAATTCTTTCTAAATTAGAGAAATATGAATATAATTACATATATTTAAATTATAATAATGCAGTTTATAATATCTATCACTCCGATCGATTGTTTAAATTAGAAACGAGGAAAAAGAAACTGGGTCTGAAAGAACAGGCAAATGTGACACTATGTTTTACCCTCTGACCCTTCTTTCCGCTGCCCACCAAGTTTTTGTAAATATTTGCAATGGTTAGAGTTTCCTGTACAGTACCTTCTAAACCCGCACACTTCCTTGCCATAGGTTAATCCGCTGCAGAGAATCGATGAATTTTTCTTTGCTGATTTTCACCTGTTATAAGTTGAGGAAAAATTTTCGAAAATTACAATAAAAAAATAACAAGTACACTAGAGTGGTCCAACAATATATAGAAAAAATTTTGCTAATGAAAGTTTTTGTCCTGCAGCAAAAATAAAGAAATTTTGTTGATTCATATTTAAAGTGCACATCGGTCTTCTTCTCTTAAAAAAAGTTTTCAGAAATGGGCAAAAATATGATTTTTAGGGGTATAAATCCCATTTTTCTCCTAATTCTGAAGTGATGGAAAGTTTTCATTTGCAGGTTCAGATTCAGATAAAAGAGTTTGAAAACAAGCAACTGAAAAAATAGAAATTTTCAGACTTTTTCTATTCCCAAATCAGACTCTGAAAATAATAAATGCACAGGGTTGTTAATTATTATTATTGTTTTCTAATCTACTAACTTTTTCGATACAGCTTGATACATTTGAATCTGAAATTGAATCACTTCTTGCTGGTAAGAAAAAAAGATTAGATAAAGATAAACAGGATAGAATGGATGAACTTAAAGGAAAGCTCGAAAAACATCGATATCATATTCGTAAACTAGAAACATTGCTTCGGATGTTAGATAATATGTCCGTCGAAGTTAATACGGTAAGCCTTCAACTTTTCTTTAAAAATATTTTATTCTATAATAAGGTTATTTTAGTAAATTACTTTAAGTAATCGAAATAACACAATACAATACAAAATTTATTTACAAACTTGCTTAAAAAGTATAATTGGCCAGTTGAGTAGTTAAGTTTTTTTTAACAAAAGTGTCAAAAGTGAAACTAGATACAAATTGGTAAAATTTTATTGCATTTGATATAGGAGAATTTTTGGGATTACTGAATGTAAATCATATTTTTAAAATTCAAAATGTCAACTAATATGATAGCCAAATGTTAAAAATTTTTATTGAATCCAATTCAAACTTGTTACTCGGTGGTTCTTTTGAGGTCGCTCAACAAATTTGAATTTTTAAAAATCAACTTGAGATTTGTAATTAGCGATTCAAAAAATCCCCAAGCAGCATATAAAGTTAACCCTTGCGTGCCTGAGCTGGATCCCTCGGACCCAGACAATTTGCTTTTTCATCTACTTCTATTTAAGAAACTTTTTTTCAAAATCGTTATCAAATCGGATTAGCTGATGCTATAATGTACATTTTTTTAAAAAAAGAGCATTTTTTATGTAAAACTCTTTCTAATACATTATTTTATATCTCTTTAGTACGCAGATGCCTGAGCTGGGTCCCTCGGACCCAGACAACTTTTTTTTCATGTACTTCAACATATTCGCTTAAAAATCGTTACTCGGGGTTTTTCGGGGTCGTTGATTACGAATCCGGTATCCGTTTTTCAAAATACAAAATGACGGATCCAATATGGCAAACAAATTTTTAAAAAATCGTTCAGATTCGCTTGAAAATCGTTACTGGAGGGTTTTTAGAGTCGCTGATTACAAATCTCATGTTACTTTTTTAAAATTCAAAATGACAGAACCAATATGGCCGAAGACTTTTAAAAAAACTTAACGTATTCATCTGAATATAGTCACTCGGGGGTTTTCTGGGTCGCTGATTACGAATCCGATATTAGTAAATTGTATTGATTTTTAATTTTCCTGTCCGCCATATTGGATCTGCCATTTTTAATTTTAAAAAATGGACGCCGAATTCGTAATCAGTGACCCCGAAAACCTCCAAGTAACGATTTTCAAGCGAATCAGAACGATTTTTTAAAAATTTGTCCTCCATTTTGAATTTTGAAAAACGGACACCAGATTCGTAATCAGCGACCCCGAAAACCCCCGAGTAACGATTTGCAAGCAAATTTGTTTAATTTTTAAAAATTTGTCCGTCATATTGGATCCGCCATTTTGAATTTTGAAAAACGGATACCGGATTCGTAATCAGCGACCCCGAACTCAGGCACGTGAGGGTTAATTAATAATTTATATTAAATATATATTTATATGTTTCATATATTTTTCTATTTATTTATTGTACAATTTACATAAAAAATTAAAAAAATAGTTTTCTGTATCCCCTAACCGAAAGTACGATCTTCCGGGAACAGCGACTTTTGTGGCTTGCTCGAGCCAACGCACGCTCTGATTGGCTACGAGATTTTCGTGACCAGCTAACTTAGCAACCACATAGTAACGCTTATTTCAAGGCCTTTGTTATGACATGGGATGTGAATAACCTCATATCTAAATTATTTTTCAAATTTATGTACCTAAATATATTGCAGTTGAACGAGTGTTTTTTCTCTTTTTTTAATTTTTAAACTAAATAACTTCTTTTCTTCTGTCAACTGTATAACTATAATAAACAATACTTCTTGGAGGTTAATAGCACAAATGTACACAAGTGGTTAGATCCTTTGGCAGAAAGACTTTTTTTTTGCATGTTTTTTATCTTTTGCAAATTTTTTTGATGCCTGCCCCGACCAGCAAAGACCTGGACTTCACCTCGGATTTGCAAAAGTCGGGCGAGCTGTCAGCTGATCGAGGCTAGGAGCAGATATTAAGTACATTTCACCGCACGCTTCGAGAGGTGGCCACGAGAGCGCGCTAACGCAATCCGCTACATTAGACACAGTATAGATATGCCAGACATAGTAAAGATTAATGATATTTTATTAATTAATATTAATTATTGAACGTACTTTCGGTTGGAGATACAGAAAAATTGTATACGACACATGACCAGAAAGCTGGATGCCCTGGCAAGCGATATATAAGGCCTCGACTTCGCCTCGGCCCTATACATCTTGCCCGCCAGGAAATCCATTTTTCTGGCCTAGTATCGTAATATACTATTTAACAAATTCATTATAAATGGGGCGAAATTCTTCAAGTGTATCAATAGCCAAAATGTGAACATTGGATTCTTTGAAGTTATAACTTTTGTATAAAAGGGTAAAATAAATTTTGACCTGTACCGAAGATGGACGATGGAAGCTCGTACGAAGGGAGCAAACATAGGTCCATACTGTAAAGTCTCGTTTTTTTCTCCGTGTAGGCATGAGATTCATGGAATAATACCATGAATTCATGGTATTATTCCATGAATCTCATGCCTATAACGCGTTTAACGCGTGGGTTTCCACAGGGAAAAGCCATCATTTTTCTCTCCGTGTAGGTTTTCGAAGGTTGTTTCCTGATATTTAGAATGGTGCAAAAGTTTCTTAAAAAAATTCAAACTTTACCCCTTTTTTTGAAAATCAAAAATATTTTTTACTTTTTTTAAAAAAAGAATCCTTTGTGCTTTGTAGTCCTTTCGTTTATAAAATTTTTAAAAATTGTCGAAATAAATTTTCTTCTATATAGAAGTATGTTATATGAGATCCTGATCAATTGTCCGGATGGATGTATGTGTGTGGACCTTTTTTGTAAACACGATAGCTTAAACAGATTTTAATGAATTTAAGTAAAATTTGGTAGGATTATTTATCACATTAATATTTCAATATTGGCACAAGGATTTTAAAAAATACCCCCCAAAAAAATGTTATCGTCTTTTTTCCCAAAATTTGTTTTTAATCAAAAAAAATTTTTTAATAGCAAAATTTAAGGTGATATATAATAAAATCAGATTCTTTACGTCAAGACAAATCAATTGGTATATATAAAAAAATCAAAAATTCACATTTTAGCTAAAAATTTTTTTGTTTATTTAAATTCAAGTTTAAACATAAAATAATTGTATTCCTTGCATTAAAACGAATCGATTGGAATATATAAAGTATATGTTTTACCTAAAATTAATTAAACTTTTCCTTATTTTTAATTGTCTAAAAAAATTTAATTATTTTTAATCAATTTAAAACGTTAATGTTAATAAAAAATGAAAAATTTACAAACAAATAAACATACTGTGATTCTGAACATACCAATTGAAAGTTTACGTAATACTGCATCCAACGAGTCCTATATGAAGTATTTTGGATTGTTAATAAACAATTAGCTAGCATTGCAATTGTTTATTAACAATCCACTAATCCAAAATATTCCATATAGGGCTCGTTGGATGCAGAATTACGTTAACTTTCAATTTGTTTGTTCAGAATCACGGTAGGTTTATTTGTTTGTAAAATTTTTCAATTTTTATTAAAAGATTGAAAAAATTTTGGTGTAGCAGCTGCACTAATCGTAAAATGTCTATATTCAGTTAACTTGACTTATATAAAAACTCATGGCAAATATTAAGTATGAAATCCACTGTTCGTAATTGACCAAAATTTTAATCTTCTTCCCCCTCTACAATTTTTGATAAAAATTAATAATAATTTATGGATGAAGCACCCACCCATAGTACCAAATGTTATGCAAATTGCAGCTTGATATGATGTAAGACAATTTTTTTTGTAATTGGTACACTTTAGAAATTTTGCCTCATATATGTTTATGTATATGTAATTTGTTTAAGATCGCACCATCCTGTTCCTCATTTACATAAACATTTGCGTTCTACTCCATTCTTAAAAAAATAATCATCAGTACTAATGTCTCACGATTTTAGTTTAGTAATAATATTGTTCGATGACCTCTGTAGGAGTATATCCTTAAACCAGGGTCCTTTAGATCTCTATAACACATTTACAGGGTGTCTACTGGTTCTGTAAGTCCTGGAAGTGTCCTGAAATTTCAAAAAATGTCCTAGAACCTCCTGGAATGTTAACTTCTTTCCTTGAATTTCATATATTTTGGTTTATATTTTCAATAATTTCGTTTACATAGCACAGCACTTCAATTGAATAAAAGTCCAGGAATTTAAAATTAGATTTTCAGTAGACACTCTGATTTAAGAAATATATATGTTTGGTAAGTTCTCTCGTTGAGTACGACTACCCATGTTGGAATCATCATATCAATGTATTATGGAACAAAAATTCCATAATACCCTCTATAAGGTTTCCAATATATACACGACCTCTAAAAGTTTAAGGCACACAACAGATTCTGTCAGCATCACCATTAACCAGCAAATCAATATGTAATGACATCCATAAGAATTTTAAATCGAAGTTGACTCAGGTTGTGGGCAGATGAGTTTGAAAATTTTTTATTATACCTGCAAGTTCATTCGAACCAAGCAATTTTGTTTCACTTAGAGAAGAGCTCTGAAGATAAAGAGTTCATCTGTAAGAAAGAGTACCCATCTTCAATGGGACCCCAAATGAGTATTTATTAGTTTTATTAAAGAAGGTAACTGAGGAGTTGCATGTTCTAAGAAGATCATTAAACACCATTGCAGGATTAGTCGAATTCTCAATAAAATTTACTATCAATGGATAACCATGTAAAAATCGAAAAGTACGATTTAAAATTGCAGTCTTCTGCCAATAATTTTCTTAAATAGTTTTGACATAACAGATTGTTATACCAATGGAAAGAAAACCTTTATCCACCGATTTTATTATCAATATGACATATACCTCTCTCTAAGAACTTGTAAAGGAGGACTAAGCAAACATTTTATTCAAAAGGGACCTGATGAATTATTATTATGAGGTAAACGAAAGTTCCCAAATTATCTTAACTGTCAAACCATCTAAACCCGGTACTTAATCTGATTTAAATTTAAAGCAAGTGCAGCCTTTTTGTTTGCTGAAAAAGAGACAGTATTTGCCAATGAGTAAAGTAAGTTGATCAAGAAAGAATCTGTAGGAACGAACGTTCATAGGAAGTGCTTTCACTCTGTTTAGAAGTACTTTTATTGTTCTCCACATAGAGAAAAGATTCAAAGTATTATTTTTTGTAGAAATATTATGATTCAGAGCCGCGGTCAATAATGAACGTCCCTTACTAGCAGGTAATAAATCCAAAATTTAATTCTAGATATCTTCCCTTACGTTTCCCCATACTGCCACAAACAAACTCACAACTTTGTCTCAAATAAAGTTCGTCTGTATCAGAACCTCACGTTTCCAAATTGTGGAAAATTTTTTAGGTTTCTAAAACACCGTCCAACAAAATTCAACTTTTTTTTCACACACGAACAACCCTTAAATGAAAAGTAACGAGAACATCTTTGAAAATTAATAATTTTTATGAAACTTGGCACCCAGGGGTTTTCGGGGTCGATGATTACAAATAGGATGTGAGATTTTCAAAATTCAAAATGGCGGATCTAATATGGCGGTTGACATTTTTTATTGTTTATTATTCTTTATAAAACTTAGTATCCGGGGGTTTTCGGGGTCGCTGATTACGAATCTGATATCACATTTGCAAAATTCAAAATGGCGGATCCAATATGTCGGACAAAATTTTTTAAATTTAATGGAATTCACTTGAAACTTGGTACGCGGGGGTTTTCGGGGTCGCTGATTACGAATATGATGACAGATTTTCAAAATTCAAAATGGCGAATCCAATATGGCGGTCGAAGTTTCTAAAACGTAATTTTGTAGTATATAACCATTTTGAATTTTGAAAATCTGACATCCTATTTGTAATCATCGACCCCGAAAACCCCTGGGTACTAAGTTTCATAAAAATTATTAATTTTCAAAAATGTTCTCGTTACTTTTCATTTAAGGGTTGTTTTCACCCCTAAAATCGTTAAATGCCTGATCTTGCAAAACGGCAAAACATTGGTCACTTTTTTTGGGCCCTAGTTTCCGAAAATGTTTGGTTTGTTCTTGTGTGAAAAATCTTGTCGGACGGTGAAATAGATAATAAGTGTATTTTGGCCCTTCAATGGAGGCCATCTATAAATTACGTAACCCGCATTTTTGGAAATTTTATCCCCCCCCCCTTCTCTCTTTCATGTAACACTTTGTTACATACATTAGCTCCATTTTTTCTATTAGTCGTAACAAATAGCTTCACCTCTCCTCCCTCTTGGAGCGTTACGTAATTTATGGATGTTCTGATATTAAAATGAACTGACAAATAAAATAAAAAAAATACTTCAATTAATTTAATTAATTGTTTTTGATGTTTGAAATATAATAAATTGCTTAAAGTAATTTATTTATTAAATAAGTTTTTTACTATTAATAAGGATTTAAATTTTTTAATTAATTTTTGACATCATATTCATTGTTGCGGAATGAAGTCTGAATAAGTGAATAATAACAGTAATAATAATAATATACAGATAAAGAGAATAAAAGAAGACGTGGAATACTATATTGAATCGTCACAAGAGCCTGACTTTGAAGAGAATGAATATATTTACGATGATATTATCGGATTGGATGAAGTTGAATTATCTGGAGTCGGAATTCCTTCTTCAGCAACTACAGATAGTAATAATAGTAATGAAACTGGAGGAACTCCTACGTCTACTAATTCTGGAACTTCGCCCATACCATCACCCCCTCTGAGTTCAACTATGCATAATCATTCAAGTGATAGTTCTACTGATGCAGATAAAAAGACTAAGGTAATTTTTAAAATTATATCACGTCATTTTATGTACGTTTACTCAACGAGTAAAGGTAGAATATATTAAAGTCTATATATTTTACTAAGATGATACATCAAATTTGTATCGAATTTAAAACTATGTAATTTTGTTATAAGTTCTTAAATCTCAAATCGAAATACTCGTTTTCTTTTCTCTTCGCTCTCTAAAATGCATTATAACTTCTCGTTCCATCATTAATACAAATAAGATTTTTTTTGTTATATCTTGCTGGTATGACCATCAGAAATTATCTCTACTTCTAATTGGCTGGCATGATATTTCATCTTCTTTTCGCTTTCGTCCCTATCAAAGTTATTATTATTATGATTATTAATAAAGTAGAATGAGTAAAAAAATCACTAGGGTAAGTGTATCAATTACTGTTAAGGTCCCAATTACTGCGATTTTTATAAAATTAGTAAAACTTAGTAATTGAGAACATAAAACAGTTTCAAAATGACTTTAAAACTTATTCCTAATGATAATTGATATTAGATCCACTAAAAATGCATATTTCGACTATTATCAAATTAGTTATTTATTTTTCAATTGAACCTATCACAGTAATTAGAGCATGTGTATATTTTTCTCATGCTGCTATTACTGTGATCTATCCAGTCAACCTAACCTCTAAATCAACGCTTTTTGCGTTACAGTAATTGGTGCACATGATTCACAGTAATTCATGCAAATTTGCAGTAATACCAGCATATGCCATTTTTTAAAAAGTTAATATTTTTAATAATATATATTAGTTTTTTTCAAGTTTAAAGTATCGTTTCTATTTTAATAGACACTAATAGTGATTTAACAAAAAGAAATAAATCATTATTTTATTTACACTTCTATTATTTTATCATTAAAGTCGGTCTTGGGTTGTACATCACAGTAGTTGGGACATTTACCCTACTATCGGTTCAAAAATTCAAGTCCTATGAAAAAAAATATTGTACTTCACTTAGAATAACTTACAAAAAAAAATTGTAAATTGGTATATTGATAACACCCTGTCGAAGAGCAGTATTTATTTTTTTTTATTACCTAAATATTTAAAGAAACCTCTCGAATGGTTTATAAGCATACATTTAAAATTAAATACTCAAGTTACATTCCTTTAAAAATTAAACAATATATAATTACACGTCGCAATATTTGGTTTAGACAAAAACATGTCCACACATAAAGGCAAATACATTTTCATTAAATGAAAATACATGTTGTAAATTTTCAAAATCTACACCACATCTACAACCAGAACTGTTTACAATACCTACACGTGCTAGAGAGGTTGCTAAGTTATAGTGTTCTGCCCTACAACGATTTATTGTCACACGTTGTTTTCTTGATAAAGACTTATAATGGAACTAGGTTTTTCTTGTATCAGTATAATAGTTTTGAATATAGTTTTTATCCTTAGTCAAACCCTGTTCCAATACAAAATCTCTAGTTTGCAAGTAAGACCTTTTCCTAAAGTTTCTGAACTTTATAATTAGTATAACTTAAATTATAATTGCAAAGAGTATCAATTAACTTCAAGGAGTTCATCACACTCATAATATTTTGACAAAGTAAAATTTTTCGGTTACGTGTTTTATTTTACATAAGCTATAGTACTTGTTAACAAAAGTATATGGGCGATTCAACGTGAGATTTACCTATGACCTTTTAAATTCGTCTAAATATATTTTTTCTTATTCTTTGTAGAAAAAAAAGGTTTACGTATTTTTTTATTTTTTTATAAGTGCTCAAATTTTCGATTTATGAATTTTTAAAAATCTGATTTTTTCAAGTTTTTTGAAATAGGTACACCTAATTTCAATGACATGTAACTCTAAAAGTATTGATTTTAGGAATTATGATTAACATACACAAAAGTTTCAGTTTTTTATCGACTTTCAAAATATGTTGACGAAAAAAAAAATTTTGAATTTGTTTATAAAAAACAGCGATTTTTCATAAACAAATAAAATTTTTTTAAATTTAGGCGCGATTTTTATTATTTTTTTTAATTTTTACACACATGAAAATAAAAAGAAAATTTTGTAATAAGTTTTGGAGTGGGCCTGATGATCCTTTTGTTTATATAATTTGTTTTAAAAAAAAATTTTACTTTTTTTTAGTTTTTTTTTTATTTTTCAAAATGAAAAGTGTTTTTGACACTAGGATCTACTAGTAAATTCATAGAAAAGCAAATTAAAATACATTTTATTTTGAAAAATAAAAACAAAATTTTCTTTTTATTTTCATGTGTGTAAAAATTAAAAAAAAATTTAAAAAAATCTCGCCTAAATTTAAAAAAATTTTATTTGTTTATGAAAAATCGCTGTTTTTTATAAACAAATTCAAAATTTTTTTTTTCGTTAATATATTTTGAAAGTCGATAAAAAACTGAAACTTTTGTGTATCTTAATCATAATTCCTAAATTCAATACTTTTAGAGTTACATGTCATTGAAATTAGGTGTACCTATTTCAAAAAATTTGAAAAAATCAGATTTTTAAAAATTCATAAATCGAAAATTTGAGCACTTATAAAAAAATAAAAAAATACATAAACCTTTTTTTTCTGCAAAGAATAAGAAAAAAATATATTTAGACGAATTTAAAAGGTCATAGGTAAATCTCACGTGGAATCGCCCATATGTTTTTGTAGTCCAGGATCTAGGGTACATTTTTATCATTCATTACTAAAAAGCTAATTTTCCTTGAATAATTTTCTTTCGATGAGACGCCCAACTTTTTTTTAAATAAAAATTCTCCAATGTGGTAGCTAACAGGGATAGGAGGGATAAAATATGTCGATTTGACGATTCTCAAGAATTTATTACTAACTGAGGATTTTTTTTAATAAATCTTAAAAAATTTATTAACATTATTGAAAAAATATTTGTCCTACAAAATGTATTGTTTTATCAAAGAGTACCCACCTTCCAACATGTATCGATAACGAGGTCATCAAAATTAATTACTAACTAGTTGGTTTTTTTACTGCTGCTTAGTTAATATTTATATAATTTGACACCCACATTGTCCTACTAATTGCGTGGTACGTTATTCCGGTCCTGCGCTCAGAAATTGTTAGTAACACAAGACCGTTTTTCTTATTACTAACTGTAGGACAAAAATATTACATAATAGGTTAGTGTTTATCTATCCAAATGTAACAATCTCCTACAAGAAAACAGGTAATTATCATTTTCGTTTTTCTATTTGTAACATAACATTCCGTGTGTAAAAGTAAAATGGGGCCCAGGTGGTTCCCAATTGGGCTTCCCAGCTTCTAGGTAGGGCCAAGCAGCGTTAGCCCAGGTAGGAAATTCTTGGGTTTAGAAAAGTTCAGCCAAGGCACAGTCCACCTGGAAAGAATCCCAGGCAATGCCCAGGGAATTTTCTGTGTTACTCTTTGATCAGACTATACATTTCGTAGGACAAATGTTTTTTTAATAATGTTAATAATTTTTTTAAGATTTAATAATGACCCACAGTTATTGATAAATATTTGAGAATCTTCAAGTCGGCATATTTTATCCCTCCTACCCCTGTTAGCTACCACATTGGAGAATTTTTATAAGAAAAAAAGTTGGGCGTCTCATCGAAAAGAAATTATTTACGAAAAATTAGTTTATTAGTAATCAATGGTAAAAATGTACCCTGGGTCCTGGACTATTGAGTTTTTATTTGACAAAATTCTTGCTATATATCAATCACATAGAAACACAGAACGATCCTTTAACAAAGGTATCTTAGACTCAGACAAAAGACTAAAGCTATTCTCACATCATTATTTTGAATATACATCCCCCTGAGAAACTCCCATAAAGACCTTTCTAGTTTTACCGATAAAATGTGCAGTATGAATATATCTTTCATATCTTTCAACTTTATGAAAGAAATTAATTTATTTGAACAACCAACTAAGGCAAGCTTTGAAAGTAAGATATCAATATTTACATTATCAAAAGATGCTTGGACGTCAAGTGCAGTTTTACGATTTTAAAAAAACAGTAAAAATAAATTGCTAACTTCTTCTAACTTTAATTAGTAAAAATCAAAAGTTTTTACATATTTCTAGTTTAGATAATATGTGACGCTCCACGAGAAAAGGGTGCACGGAAAACTGAGCCTAATGTTATTTCGGGGATAGGTCCCTTCTCTCGTGGAGCGTCACATATAATATCCAGTTTGATCTGCCCCATTTTAATCTGGAATTAGTCCAAAATTTTAACCAGAGACCCTCACAGTACCGAAACTTTCCTAAAGATTTATTTGAAATGTTTGGAATATTTAATTGCAATGTTTAGTGAAAATTGTGTAAAGACTTAAATGTCCCGATTAAATAAATGTTTAGTGTGAAACTTTGTGAAACTTTCCTGAACATTTTAATGAAATTTTCTCCTAATTATAAATATGATTATAATTAGGCGAAAATTTCATTTAAATGTTCAGGAAAGTTTCGCGCTAAACATTTATTCAAGTGGGACATTTAAATCTTTACACAATTTTCATTAATTATTGCAATTCAATATTCTGAACATTTCAAATAAATCTTTAGGAAAGTGCTGTGGAAACTATGGTTTTAAAAAAATACCACACTCTTAAGGGGGCAGTCCACGTTCGGGCCGTAATTTCGAGCCTCTTTTTAGGAAAGGTTTGTAAATAAACTACACACGATAATGAAAAACAGTTTTTTGCCTTTTATTTTAGCACTTTTAAACTCCTAAAATATTGCTTTTAATGTAAAATAATATTAACACACGCGACCTTAAAGCGTCCTTGATTGCATGCCTGCAGTAATGCTGCGTCCAACTTTCTGGTAAGAATTTGTCTATTTAAATTTCCTGAATCAAAAAAAAAAAAAAAATGATTTCCTTTGTTATTATGTATGTTGGCTTTTTTAAAAATTTTTAAATGCCTCATTTTGGCAGACTCTTTTCTCAAAATTTATTATTGACCGTTCTTTTGAGCTTATTAATGTTGTAAAAATTGCGCAAGATAATATTTTTGAAAAAATTTATGTTCTGACCTAGAGAAATGTTTATTGAACAATTTAAAAAAAAATCTCTTCGATTAATGAAAAACTTCTAGTCCATGTCTTACCAAAATGTTCGGAAAACACGAGTTTTGGGAAAATGCGTTTATACATAAATGATTGAAAAAACATAATTGGAGAATCATACCGCTTAATCGGCTATACCAGGGCAGTAGAGTTCACATTCCTCATTGAGAAGATGTTTCCGGTTTGCCACTTAGGAGTGCACGGTCATGTTGGAGATTCAATTACTCATTAAGGGTATGTGGGCAAAGGACGTTTTTTTGTGGTTCGAAACTTTCTCTGAAATAAAAAAAGAATTCGGGTTAAAATTATGGAGCAATGATTTTGTTTGGTACAAGGAATCTCGGTATTCTTCACATTTACTATAACATAACGCAAAAATAATAAAAATAAAGCAATAAAAAGTAAAACAATGTGTTTTATCATAGTTCATTCAGTTTAAAAGTGCCACTTTTTAAACTTTATTTTTTAATAATTTAACGCAAAATTATGTATTTTTCGGAGAACAGCGAGATTACTTGAACCAAAATCTATCATCCCTCAAAATTTTAGACAGAAATATTTTCTCATTTTAGAGTAAGATGTATACTACCAAAACAGATATTCCCATACTAGGTCACGTGGGAGGTTTCCACATACCCTTAACTAAAAATGGGGCACATTTCTAATAACCTCTATATTGGAAATATACAAAAAAGAAAAATCGATTTTCTCAAACCACTCGTGCTGTGTAATCAATTTTGATTGTTTTGACTTACTTTGATTATTGTTGCAAAAAACCAATCAGCATATTATGTTAATGCACAAACTTGGCTATAATATATATTTATGTATAACATTACAATTTTCAGAAACTTATAATTTAAACAAATTTAAATTGTCACGTTTTTAATTGGTTATTATTTTATATTTGTAGCCGGTTAAACCAACTGCAGTCAGACCATTAATAAATTCTCAGTCAAGCATTCCAACTTCAGGAAATATTACTACTGTGAAACCAAATCTATTGCCAAGCAGTACTCCCAGTAAAGCAGTTCCTTTAATACCTAACCACAACTCACAGAGTTCTACGAGTAATCACGTATCCATGACCAATGCTGGTAATTTTGCTACTGTAGCAGCATCGCACAGCAATTCTCAAGTTGTTCATTCTACTTCTACTAAAACGCCATGTAAAATCGAACATTACAGCTGCACGATTGAAGAATCCAGTAAGTATCATTTTTCAGCTACTATTTAAATTAAAAAAAATTCATTGTTAAAATCAGCAACCCATCATAGGATTGCTCTTACTCAAGTTTCGGGGTACCTCAGCGCCCTTTTTAATGGTTTGAAACTAGGGCTATACCTTAGTTAATAACACTCGTGCTCGTTACAAACATAACGCGTTATAATTTAATAAATGTTACGTTATAACTATTTTTCTTAATGTTGACAACTTAATGACTTTTCAGGTCATGGAAATGAAAATGGACTTTTATCTTCCTCATCTACATCAAGTGTTACTTCTAATCCACCACAAACGATTTCTCAACAGCATAGTAACCCATCGCTTGCGCAATCTTCTCTTGTTCTACATAGTCAACAAAATCAAAATCACAATTGCGAAACGGAAGTAAGCATACCTGTTCCACCGTCATCATCACCACATTCTTCTGTAAGCAGTTGTTCTTCACCTATACCAGTGAATTCTTGTTCACCGACGCCTTCCAGTGCTAATGGGCTTATCTCTAAACTTCCTGATGGCTTGTCTTCTCTAAAATCAATTGCTCAACAAGTAATCGTTCGAGCTGGTTTAGAAATACCGTCATCGGAAACAAATAGAAATATTTTTGATAATTCTAAGTCGAATATTAACAATAACAACATAACCTCAGAAGCGCACATTCCACCTCTGCTTGGTGTAGCACCTTTAGGTACAGTCCCGCTTCAGAAAGAGCATCAGCATCAATTTCAAATGATGGAAGCTGCATACTATCACATGCCACATCCCTCCGATTCGGAACGTTTAAGAGCATATTTACCAAGAAATATATGCCCTACGCCATCTTACTACCAACAGGTGAGTCATTTTTTATAAATAAATTCATTTATTTAGACTTAGCAGTCCATTCTTCCACAAAGTGGTTTACAATAATAATAAACATTACATAAATTATAAAAATACAAAATAAAATTAATACAAGATAAAACACTCACTCCCAAGTTGAAATGCAATTAATAGCATCTTATCACTAGTTCCTAAAACATTGCCGAAATAAACTTTACAAAACGTTTCGGAAACAAATCGCTTTTATCTGAAAGAACATTTAACCTAAAGGATTCAAGGATCGCGTACTCCAGGAGTTGAGGGAAAACAGTCTTCTTTTTGTTCATTTCAAAACATGCACAATTCTCCCTTTGGTAACTGAAACTCAACTTTATTTATCACAATTAAATTTCTGTGAACATTTAAAAGCCTAATCTGAGCAAAAGTTCACTTGATATTTAATTTCGAGCGAGAGCCGTTGTAACATTAAGTGGGGCCAGATCTCCAAACATTGTGAACTTTTTCGAGTCCGATAATCCCTTCCAAGCAAAAAATCTTTAAAGTCATGAAGGTTCAGCTCCCTTCTAGCAATTAAATTCCCTATATTCAAGGATTATTATTCATAGATTAATTCTGTTGCACTTCTCAAAATAGCACTTTAAACAACCGTACCAATTCCAACTCTGGAATACCTTGAGTATCGAGAAGAATCCATACTATAAATTTTTCAAATCCAAGACAGCGATCTCTCCAGAATCAAAAGGGAAATTGGTAAACAACCCGTTTCCAGTCTCACCGCATAATTAGGAGTGCAACTAGGCAACAATAACAAATTCTTCAAAGAAGAGATCTGGATCCGCTTGACTTTATCAACTTGCTCATGACCTCAAATTTTAATCGCGTATTGAAGAGTACTCAAAAAAAGACTGTAAAAAAGCCTGGAGTTGGCTGCACCAACAACTTGGGAAATATTAGGCTTGGAAGAACCAGATCTAGAGAAAAGAACTCCCAAATATTGATATTGCTTAAGGTAGTACACGCGCGATCACACTCTTATTGGAATTTCGGTGAAATTTAATATCTTAACAGTTAATATCGAGTTCTACATATTCGCAAAGTTTTAATACAATTGACCGTTTCTGAATGAGATATTTAAGTTTAAAGTTTGTTAGTTTAATATTGTTAGCACGAAGTAGTATAAGGAGACCTCACGGCAATGGTAGTAGAGGCAAAAGTCAGCCTACATTTGGGGGAACAGAGTTGTGCTAGTTCTGACAACGTTCAGAGGCAGCGCTTTTGCGGAGAAAATGTAAATTACAGAAACAGTTTTGGCGGTATTATACTTATTGTGTACTACACGTGGTTTGAGATTCAAGTGAAAAATGTTGTGACAAAAAGAAATACCTAAAACAACAATCTTTCAGAATTAATATATTTTATAAACCGCACTTATATACAGCTAGGATTTGAAATAATACTCAAATTATGTTTACATCCGTTTAATACAGGTTAATATGTCAGGAGTAAGCAGACGATATTTCAGTACTAAATTTCAACCGCAGAGGCGCAACCTCTGAACGTTGTCAGAAATCGCACAACTCTGTTCCCCCAAATATAGGCTGGCTTTTAAGCCGCGTGAGGTCTCCTTATACTACTTCGTGATTGTTAGCCTATGTAGAGTGCACATAAATGTCACATTTCTGTCAATGACTTCTAAAATTTTCTATAGATGTTATAAATAAATATTTATAGAATTTAAAACAAAAAAAATTAACAACATTGACCGTTTTGTTTAAGAGATATAAGAGTTTAAAAATGATTAATTTTGAGGTTAATGATTTGTGAGATTAGGGAAAGTACTACTAACCCCAGCATGAGCACGTGTATGAATAGAGGCTAACGATGTATTTAGTACAGCCAAGCAAAAAAAATTTAAGCAACAAGCTGTAGATATCCTAAACTTTTTACTATTGAACTTTATTTTTGGAAGTGATTGCTGCAAGTACTTAACAACTTCAATTTTTTCACTACCGAATTCAAAAGATTTAAAATGTCTATACGAACAATTATGACCAATATTTATTTCTTTATAAGTTGATAAAATAATGAAAGATGTTTAATTTTAATTTTCTTTGCGTTATTAGTATTTCTAAAAATCTCATTTAATTCATGAAGACTTTGATAAAAAAGTTAGTTTTTGCGGCTTTTAATTTTTCTTACTCTATTCAAAGTAAATACTTTTTAAATCAGATTAGAGGTTATATTCATAAAATGTGATAACCCAAGTTATCTCTGTGATACAGATTCCTTTAATTCCTCATATTTTGCTTAAGGTAGTATTACAGTATTTTCAAGCAGTAAAAAAAGGGTTCAAATAAAATTTTTTTTTCTCCTTAATTACTTTATTTAAAGGAAAGAAAGTATTTTTACGTGAAAATTACAGGAAAAATATAGCGAAAATGATTCGGATCGATTTACATAGCGTTGTCAAGGAAAAATAAAAAATATTGAAAAAAGCGTTTAATCCTCCTAGCGCACACACTATTTGACCAAAAGGGTTCATATTTGGTATACATGCGTATTTTTGCGTGTAAATTACAGAAAAAATATAGCGAGCACGATTGGAGTTGATGATCATATTGTTTTTAAGGAAATCTCATATTTTTAGAAAAATTCATAGATTTTTCGAATAAAAAGAGGCGCATGATTTTTCCGAAAAATTAAAAAGTTCGAAATTTTAATTGATCGAATTACTTTAAGTCGATATTTTATTTGGTCGAAAATCTAAAAGAACGACAGTTATGAAAGTCGACATTTTATTTAGTCGATATTTTATTTGACCGAAATTCTAAATGATCGATATTTAAAGTGGTCGACATTTTATTTGGTCAATATTTTGTTTATTCGAAATTCTAAATGATCAATATATAAAGTGGTCAACAATTTTACTCGATATTTTATTTCGTCGAAATTTGAAATGGTCGATTTTTAAAATGGTCGACATTTTATTTAGTCGATATTTTATTTGATTGAAAATCTAAATGCTCGATATTTAAAGTGGTCGACATTTTATTTAGACGATATTTTATTTAGTCGAAATTTTATTAGTTCGATATTTTGTTTGGTCGATATGATACAGGTTAGACAACAGCAAAGTAAATCCAGCTTATTGGAAATTGTGATTGAATCAAATATATTGTTCGCTTGGAAACGGACAAGTCGAGTACAAGGAAAATGACTTTGCCATACGTTGAATCTATTCATGAATCATAATAAACTCCCATGAGAAGAATACATGTGAGAATTGAATTCAAAGCGTATAGGCCATACATTGATATATATAATTGATCTCAATAGCAATTTCTAACTTTCAATCAGAAAAATAACACAATGGATGGTTAAAGTACGACTACTGTAGTCAGGCTCCCTCTGGGCACAACAATGAGAGACAAACTCAAATTGAGTGAGAAAAATCAATTGTACTTGTAACGCGGGAAAATGTCAACACCGGGTTTCAAACACTTTAAATATACTTAAACCTTGAACAAGGGGTATACAGTTAAGATATTAAACTGTCGAAGACCACAACACTGCAAGGTGACACCGCAAATATACAAAAGATGTTTACATAGATCTACAAAGCATTATAAACAGCAGAGGTCACAGCACAATAACAGTGAGTCATCTCAGACTCAGATAAAACCAGTAAAATTTATGAAAGTACACGCGGAACAGAATGAAGTAATAAAATAGATTCTCAGGATGACACAAAAAATTTAGATATTTCACAAAAGGTTACGATGAGCGAGGGTAGAAGTCACACTCGCTTATAGAACAAAACTCAGAACTGATCAGGATTAGAACAAACTTCGAAGAACGCTTCAGAGAGCACGTGGTAGAACGAACGTTTTAATAAAAAAAGGTTATATAGTTGCTTTCAAAAGCAGAACAAATCATAAGTATTCACTAAACAGAACTTGGCTAAAATGAACTAAAACTTGTTTGAACAAATGATAGGTAGAACAAAATCGATGGAAAATGCATGGAGTGCCGGAACATATTCCGTCCGGTCACTACCGCTGCCAAGTTAGAACTCCATTTAGAAGCATCGAATTTTATATCCATCGAAATTTAATTTAGTCGATATTTTAAAAGCTCGACATTTTTTTAGCTATACGAGTTTCCTCTCTATGTTGTTATTATGATTTACATCAATAAATTCAAATTTCCCGCAAAATTTCAATGTACTTTACCGACAATCTACATAGAAAGGAAACTCGTATAGCTAAAAAAGTGTCGAGCTTTTAAAATATCGACCAAATTAAATTTCGATGGATATAAAATTCAATGCTTCTAAATTTCTATCATTTAGAATATCGAACAAATAAAATATCGACCACTTTAAATGTTGTTCATTTAAAATATTTACCAAACAAAATATCTAACTAATACAATTTCGACCACTTTAAATATCAATCATTTAGAATTTCGACAAAATAAAATATCCTCTAAATAAAATGTCGACCACTTTAAATATCGACCATTTAGATTTTCGATCAAATAAAATATCGACTAAATAAAATGTCGACCTTCATAAATGTCGGTTATTTAGAATTTCGATCGAATAAAAAATCGACTGAATAAAATGTCGACCTTCATAAATGTCTATCATTTAGAATTTCGATAAAATAAAATATCGGCCAAATAAAATGTTTATCATTTTAAATATCGATCATTTAGAATTTTGTTCAAATAAAATATCGACTTAATGTAATTCGATCAATTAAATTTTCGACCTTTTTAATCTTTGGGAAAAATCATGCGCCTCAATAAAAAAAGAAGAAAATTTTATCATAAGGGATTCAAATTTATTAATTTTTACATATTTTTACGTGTCGATTACAAAAAAATATAGCGAGAACGATTGGAGTTGATTATCATAGCATTATCAAGGAAAAACTGATAATTTAAGATAAAAATCATGAATTTTCCTCAAAAAACGAAGAAAATTTTATCTAAAGGGCTTTAAATTTATACATTTTTACGTGTAGATTACAAAAAAGATATAGTGAGCACGATTGGAGTTGATTATCATAGCGTTTTCAAGAAAAAACTGATAATTTTCGATCTATGTGTTTTCATGCTCACATTACAGAAAAAATGAAACAAAATTGGAATTTTTCCATCGGCCTTCACACTTTAACCCCCTTAAATTTTAGGTTTAAGGGTACGGAACCCTCAATTTTAATGCGAGTGTAACTCGCACTTGTCCGATTTTTATTTTGTCGAATTTTGATTTAATATTTTGGAATTATATTTCCAAGATGATTTGGAACAGGAATATGCAAAAAAATCGATTTTTTTGACGTTATAAACTGTAATACTACCTTAATAACATCAAAAATTGGCAAAAGCAATAATGACTCATGCAAGTTGATCAAAATTATTTTTTTTTTTTACAGATACAGCTTCCACATTCAGACACTGTAGAATTCTTCCAACGTTTGTCGACCGAAACGCTTTTTTTTATATTTTATTATATGGAAGGTTCTAAAGGACAGTATCTAGCAGCGAAGGCTTTGAAGAAACAAAGTTGGAGGTTCCACACTAAATACATGATGTGGTTTCAAAGACACGAAGAACCTAAAATTATAAATGAAGAATACGAACAGGTAAGTTAATTGAAATTTCTTTAGAAAAATTACAATTTTTTCCATACAAATCTCATTAATTAACATTAAAATAGATTATTCTTCAGTATTCCAACTTAAATTTATTTTTTAAGTCTTTTGTGAAAAAATATTAAATCTCCAAATATTTTAATTTTATATTCAATCTACAAAAAAAAAATTTTTTTGATATCATTGGTTTATTTTTTTACTTTTAAATGTAAACAAAGTATTTTGTCAATGTTAAACTCCATAGAAAAGTGTTTGTTATAGATTTAAAAGTTGAAATGAAATGTCTTTGGGTATTCATCTGTTAGCGATAATTTTAATTTGTGTTTCAGGGAACTTACATATACTTCGATTATGAAAAGTGGGGTCAGCGAAAGAAAGAAGGCTTTACATTCGAGTACAAATACTTAGAGGATAGAGACCTCAATTAAGTGAAGATGTATCAAAGTCTTCTTTTATATTCATGTGATGAGGAGAAATTCAGACGCGAATTATTTTTTTGCGGTTATATATTTTCGAAAAATATAACTTTATTTATTGGCAAGGAATAATAAAAATTTGTTGACCGAAATTGATATAACAGATGTCGTCAAAAATGTTGAAGGTTGATACAACGTATTAAAGGTGTTTAAATACAACCTCCTTTTAAAAAAATGAATCCAATGGCAAAATGTAAATCAGTTATGATTACTGATAGGCAGTAACTGTAAAGTTGTAAACTTTGAGTTGTACCAGTTGCATATTTTAATAGTTTTGTGTGAGGTGTGTGATAAATAGAGAAGGAAGTTATTCTCGTTGACGACTGACTCTAAAATACCAGTACAAACATTATGTGCGACCCATTTGCCGTTTAATGGTATGGTGGAAGACGCTCATGCTATGGTATATCTTAATGTTTAGATTATAAGTAGCCTTTTTTGTATAAATTATATAAAGGTATGAAACCCTTAAATTGAATTACTGTACAGAATGTGTAGAAATAGTAAATAATAATATTATGGAATATATTTTATTTCTCATTCAAAGAAACCTATGTTTTTTCAATTTTATTACTCATTTATACTTATGTTAATCATTTTTTAATAAATAAAAAGTCGATTAATTGATAATTCTCTGATCACTTGTAGTTCAGGGGAACAAATGTTTTTATCATCCCAAAGTTATCCAAAGGAACTAAACTTCACAAGGGACAATTTTAGGGGTCCCTAATAAGATTGACTCGAATTTTCTAATGTCATGAACCCGACAATTCTATAATATTTTCGGATTCATGACATTAAAAAAATTCTTGTAAATTATTATCCTTGCTTGTCCTTGATCAGCCTAACTCCATAGACTTATTGCTTCCTAGTGAATTTCGTGTTAATTTATTTTAAATATTTTACAATATTATTTAAAAAATGCAAATACGAAAATATGTATGTGCAAATTGACAGGACCTTATGATTTAACGCTTTAACTATAAAAATTTTAAATTACATACACACATTCGGAAGTCTGCAGCGAGCTTCTTCTTTAGCTTCAACTTTACTGTGCATCATTTTTACGTATCTCGAATTTGGATTAAAGAGGGATCCTACTTTAGAAGGCTTCTTCTGGGTTTTTAGGATGTTTTTGTATATATTTGAAGTATGTGTAAAAAAATTTGTCAAAAATATTAAAAAATAGACATGTTAAAATTAATTTTTGATGTTGGTGCACATCTTGACTTTAAAAACGGTGGACACGATGGAGACCTCAATTCTTGTCTAAATCATAAAATGAAGGAAAAATTTTAAAGTTTACATAAGTAGTTTCTACTTGAACTAAGAAAATTTCAAAGAAATTTGAAATTCGATTATTTTGAGAGAAAAAAATCATTAAAAGAAAATGTTTAACTGGTTCTCCAAATTGTTAAAAAAAATTTTTTTCGAAATTTTTTAAGTTCAAATAGAAGAGGGATTAATACTGAGTAAAACAAGCCATCATTCATTAAAATCGGTTAAGGCGTTTTCCTTCAATCACGCCCACCAGTTTTGGGGCCATCCATAAATTACGTTACCTATTTTAGGCGAGAGGGGGTCAAAAAAGAATAAAAAATTGGTAACGTAATTTATGAATGGCTCCTTTATAAAAATCGTAAAAAGTTAAATTAGAGAAAACGCTCCCGGCCTTATAAACTACTAATATAATAAAGTACCTTTGCAGGAGTCTTTCTGCGGGTAAAAAATTCGAAATTGACAATAAAATGGGCGCCTCCGAGTATAGACAAGCGCTTGAATACCTGCCCGATTCCTCGATGCGTTTAGTCTCGTAACTTAAAAAATACTTCAGATTGACCTCTAAAACTTTAGGTTCATATTCTTAGATGTATTATTTAAATAATTAAGTACGCAAAAAAAAAATTTTTGATTTTTTTTGACCACGTAAAGTAGGATACCTCCTTAAATTATATCCATACGTTAAGATTTAACAATTTTCAATCGGATCACTAAATAAAATTAAAAAAAGGACAAATAACTGAAATATTGAATAAAATCTGATGTTATGGAGGGGAGTTTCGGAGGGAAGTCTTAACACTACTTTTCATTCAATAATTCAGTTATTTGACTTTTTTTTGAAATTTTCATTAGTGATTCGATTGAAAATTGTTAAATCTTATCGTATGGCTGGCAGATTTTTATTAATTGAAATTAATTTTATTATTTTTTAACAAAAATACCGTCTAAAATCTTGCTCTTTTTGATTTGCCTTTTTGAGAAAATCAACCTTAAGGTATCACATCGGCACTAATCGGAGTCAAAAGTTTGTAGCTCGCATTACTACTTCCCGCACTATACTTTCGCCCTCAACTCCCTATACTCTCAGCCCATACTGTACCTACTTCTACAAATACACTCGTACACGTATACCCCACACTAGCAGCGATTGGAAGGAGTAGGAGGTTTGACAACGTCGCTATAAGTCTCGCTTTGACTACTGTGGACTACTGTCTCTCTCTAACTAATGTTACCATCCTGCGATGTTGCCACATCAAAGTGGCGGGTGTGCTATATATTGCAAATGACGTCATGAAATAGAATTTTTATTTATAATTACGAATAAACGGCACGGTAAATTATAAATTTCTTTGTATATTTTAGTTCCAAATTTATTCCTGAATTCAACATTAGTTTTTGAAAAAAATTTATAGAAAACTTCTGATGATATTTATGAAAATGTACTTCTCCCCCATACATTAGTCCCGTCTCCCATGCAAAATAAGCAACTTTGATTGCTAATATCTCTGGTTTCGTACGGCGAAAATTCTTCATATTTTGCAAATTTGTCAAGAATGATAATAAGAACATATGATAAAATTTTCAAGAAAATCTATAGAAAACGGTTTTACCGATGTGATACCTTAAGGGGGATTTCATGAAAAAAAAATTTTTTTGATTTTTTTTTGCTTGTTTACAATTCTTAATGTCTCTATAGTACACATCAAAAATGTTATGACGAAATTAAGCTCCTATTAAAAGTTATGGTACAATTTATGTACATATGTTGAAAAAAATGTTACTACATTTTTATGAAATTTAGTATCTTAACGTTTTCGTGGTCGCTGATTACGATCTACTCTACATGATTTAATAGTCCTATACTTTCGGAACAAAACGCACCAAAGTTGACTTAAAAATATTGATTTTGTTTAAAGATATGAAGGATTTAACACTAAAGCCAAAAAAGCGTACAAAAACGTTGTTTTTTAAATCGGTTGCAGGGATTGTGAATAAACGGATGGATATTTTGGCCTAATTTTTTTTGCATAGTGTTCAAAATTATCTTCTTTAGTGGTTATACATAAAAATTAAAAAACAAATTTTAATATGTTTTTAAACAATAAAATGGCTGTAAAAAATGTTATTTTTTCAACTTTTTTGTTTAAAGTAGTGCCATTTTTTTAAATTTTAATTTTTTAAGGTAATTTTAGGTATGACCACTACATTAGTACCTTAACTTTAATATTTTTTTTGATTTTTGGTTTTAAATCACTGGGGAGTGCGCTAGGTCTGCAACCACAGAGCGCCTCAAAATCGAAGCGTCGACTATGACGCCCTCTACAGACTAACATAACACAAAAATAAAAAAAAATTTAATTGTTTTTAATACTACAAATTATACTTTTCAATACGCAAAAAATCTTTTTAAATTTTATAATTAAACTAAGCGAGAAAAAATATTGAATTTTAACATATTTTGCACACTTCTCATAAGTAATCCTCCTTAAAAGCCATATCCGATGATTGGTTTAAAAGTTATAAGCGTAGTTACTTTCCACGTACTTACCTCTGTTATTTTTTTCCTCGGTCTCCCCTAAGGTTCAAAACAACCTAGAGCCTATAAAATTCTCAACAGATTTTGGATTTACATATATTTTTCAAATAATCTGTATTAAATTTCTAAAAGATCTATCGAGCTTCTATCGAGTTCCCTCTAGAGATCTCTCTGATTTGTTATTCCTCGTAACCAATCTGCATTATACTTAACTTTGTTCCTCAATATTAAGCAACAATGGTCCTAAGGCAGTCATTGAACCCGTGTTACTTACGATACTTTTTATTCCAAAGGAACAAACGTGGCAATTTTAGGTTACCTGACGCCCGGGTGAAAGAACCATTCATTTGTTCTACTGTGTGAAAATGGCCATTTTTATCCCTGGTAAAAAATGAACGCCATTTTCAGACGGGAGAAGAAATTTTTGGCTTTATACGCGGACGTCAGGTATCTAAAAGCGTCATGTTTGATGCCTGTGCAATAAAAACACACTTTTTGCTGTATTTGTTTATAAAGATTTTGTTAACCAACCATGACTGCACGGAGAGAAAAATCATACTATTTTCACATGGGTTGTGTCACTCATTATTCACATCACCTGTGACGTGCTTTTTTTAGACAAAATTCATGAGTTTATAGGGTCATAGATTTCTATGCAAGCAAAGTTTGGAACATGTACTATATTTGCTTCAAGTCCATGTCGTAAATACTCTCCTCCACTCAATGCGAAATTTCTTGAAATCCATACGCTTTTCTTAGTACTGGCTATTTGTTTCTACAAGAGGCCATTTAAACAAAAAGAAGACATGCGCTTTTCGGATGGATTTCTTGCAACGGAGATAGAAATGATAGTGCGCATGCGTGACTTCCGTTCACGTGTCGGTCGAAGGGTCCAGTCCCATTTGCAAGAAATCCATCCGAAAAGCGCATAGATTTCAAGCAAATTTTATATAGAGAGAAGGAAGGCAATTTTATCCTGTTTCTTAAGCGTTTATAGTTTACAGATCAATCAGAATTAGTATACATGTCTTTCTAATTTCACACAACGTTTATTCATGTAATAAACACAAGATTTCATGAAAAAATATCTTGCGTGATAAACGATTTTTACATGAAATAGTGTTATGTGAAAAAAGCAACAGTGACTCATGTGAATATAGTATGATTTTTCTCCGTGTGCTACAAAACGTTTTATAATTTTTTTTTCCAAAATCGAAAGTAATAAAGTTTTGAAATATTGTTGAATATTAAATTTGTTTAAATAATTATTATTGAATAATTGAGAATAAAAAATAAAGAAAGATCCGAATTATTTTTTTATTCGACTTTAAATTCAATTGGTCGCTAGTTTTATTATATAAAGATTGGTTTCTTCCTATGTCTTGAGGTTGAAAAAATTGTTTAAATTCAAAACCTGAAAGTTAAATTTAATTTTACTTGAAAAAACAAGATGATCGCAAAATTTACTGACTAACTTCTTAATTTACATGATTGGGAAAATTTTCTATTTTATATGCATGATGATGGTGATGATGATGAAATCACCTTAATTTTGTGTAAATAATTAATAAATTATTAGATTAATAATAAATAAAGAACAAAAGAAGATCTTAGCTATGAAGTTTATTGAAAATCGGTAATAATATAAATCTTGAATTATTATGTTTCTTGGTTTGTTTAAATAATAAATTTTTAATGTAACAAAATATATGGTTATAATACAATGCTTTAGTAATTTTCATACAGTCAGTGTATTGAAAAATGAATCGTGTGAACAGGTGTAAAAGTTTATTCTCAGATTATTTATGCATACATGTCTTCACGATCAGCTCCAACGCCATCGCCTTCCTCAAGACTAGCAAAATTTAAGAAATGAGCAGGGCGATGTACCTCGTGATAAAATTCCTTGGGATTTGCTAACTGCAATTCGTATTTCATGTTCGGGTCGTGTCGTACTCCCATAAAATTATAATTCCAAGACCCTTGGTTTGGAACCATAAAGTAGCCGAGGAAACGGTCGGAAAGCAACATCTGAACTTTTTCATAATGGCTAGGAAGATAGCCTTTCGGATTATTTCCTTTGTCGGTATTCTGTTTTCCCCAATCGATTCCGCTGGGTGTCAGTTTGTAAGCCGTGAGAGAACATGAACCTGGAGTAAAACTACAAGTAATAATAATAGTTTTTTCTCCATCCCAAGTAACTTCACTCATGTTCTGGTTTTGATCGACGATTATTTTTGCATGCGTTGTTACATCTTGAGGTGAAAGTTGTGGTAATTCATTTGGTTGAGTGTGAATCCATCCAAGAGGTTCCATTTCCTGTAGATATTGATGAGCTGGAAGGAAACTTGGAAGATGAACAGTTTGATGCGTTCCCCACTGCGGAGGCATGACTATACACCGGATTTCTTTGACTTGAGGATTATCAGAAGGACTGCATCCATAAAGGTATCCTGCAATTTGTGCTCTTAAATCTGAGATGGTGACAAACTTTTTGAGAACGTTCTTTGGTAAAATGTATGTAAAGCCCGTCTCCTTTATATCGTCAGACGAAACGTAAATGTGATTGGTCCGAAGGTGTAGATTCGTTGCGGAAATTGCTCGCACTCGCCATTCTGTTTTAGAAGCAAAAGTTTGAGTTTCATAGTTGGAAGTTGTCGCTGTAATGATTTCATCTCCATGTTTATTAACAGTTCTAGTGGTTGTGGCTGTCAGCTGAGATTGTTCCTTTGTTTGCTTTTCAATTTCTGCAATTTGTTGTCTTTGAGCAGACGGAGCACTTATTTCCATACCCAGAATAATATCTCGAATTTCTGACTGCGTGAGAGACGCAACGTTAACATTATTTTTCTTGCCATAGTCAGCAAGGATCAAATCCTTGAGTTGTACTTCGACTTTGAGCCACTCATCGTCAGTGAGCGTGGGCCAAATGTGATGCGGTTCAGTGACAGTCGTCTTGTCGGGCTTGAGAATGACCTTTGTGCGTTCGGTGTTAACGTGAAGTGCTCTCAAAATAAGAACTAACCGCGAAAAGGCTGTGTAGGATGAAATTGTTTTCAGCCAATCATCATAAAGATTGAAAAGAACCATTTGTGGCTCCGTTGCTTTCAGAATAAGGTCTCCGAATTTTTCAACTTTCAGACACGCCTGGAATGGTAGTTGAAGTTCTGAACCTTTAATGACAATATTGGGAAAGTCAAGTAAATGAACCTCCAGCGGGTCCAACATTCCTTTTCTTGTGACAATAATCTGTTTTGGTTGTTCTTCGACTGGCAAGGATCGAATTAAAGCTGCAACTTCTTCAGCAGTTTTCCATTTAGCCAACTGACCAAGTCGCTTTTGTCCTGCCCAAACAGAAGTGTGAATAATTTTCAAGAAAAGTTGTCCAGTTCGGGGGTTGAAAATGAAAATCGCACCATTGATGGGTTTAGTCGTTAAGTTTCCTTCAAATGTTTTATGAATGGTGACGCGGTAAACATTCGTATCGTCAACAAACCAAATAATCTGATTGGAGAAGAGTTCTCCATAGTTTTGCGACGAAAGATATGGCTCTGTTGGCTCGGACGAATAAAGCTGCAAGGCTTTCCTGATACGTTCTCGTAAAACATATAAAGCCGGATTCGCTTTCATTATTTTAGCCATGGCTTGTTGAATAAGTGATTTGCAACCTGGGAACCAATTTCCGTAGGCACTGTGGAGATTATAGGCCAGATCAATAGCGATGAGCAATCCAGTTGGGGACGGATATATTGACATATTGTCAGTCGTGTAGTCAAGGAATTTAGCTCTCGCGTAGCGCTCAATGTCGTGAGAATCGTAGTCACCCCACCTCAGTTGGACGTCTATCCAGTACTTCTGCGTTGTTGTGTTATCCATCACGTCCTTGGAGTCGGCAAGTAAAGAGGGCCTCGAAACTGTCCATTTGTATGCAGAAAAGAGTAAAATGTCTGCACAGGAAGAATTCATCTTGTAAGATTTTCTCGGATGAATTGTCTCCTTTTGCACAGTCTCAATTTCAAGAGCATCTAATTCTTGATCAAATACTTGACACAAGTCCATAACAATTGACTCGTGGACTTTTTGCCACAAGTGAGCTCTGAAGATCTGAATCAACGAAATCTTAAGTGTTGGAATTTTGCCGTGCATGAAAATTCCCGTCAAGTCTAATTGCACCTGAAAACCAACGTACACATTGGCTCTATTGATTGTTGGTGACCACCACAACGTAAATCGTCGATTCGGTATTTGATTTAAACCGGACCTCTGCGCGTTAGTCAATTTTTTATACTTCATCGATTCTTCAAATCCAGATGCTTTCTCCCAAAAGAGACCCTCCCAAGTCGGGAAGTAGGTGCCTTTGAAGAGCGTGTGCTCGAGAATTCCCTCTACTCCTCCAAGAGCTTGAATCATGTCAGTTCTATAATTATTCAAGTTCCATAGTTTACCGTCATGTCTTTGATGAGTCCACCAGAACGGATTCTGCTTTAGAACCTGGTACTGCTTGAATTCTGTTCGTATCCTCCAACCCTTGTCATAAGCAAGGGCGTGGCGATCCTTCTGGAATAAAGTATTGATCCTGGGGATTCCTCTGTCCCAACTGTCCTCTAAGTCCTCCAGAGTCAGTCGACGATTCTGCGCATTGGCTTCCTGGCGTTTCAAGGCGTACTCCGCCCACACTCGTTGAGAATCAATAAACTCTGATTCCCAGGGCTGAATGTATCTGTACAAGTTGGGAATCAGTTGGTCTTCGTCGTGACTCATACCCGATCGAAAGTGTGTGATTCCCACGTCAGTTTGCTTTGACCATCTCAAATCTGATTGGGGAATAAGCACATGTCCCATTGACAGCATGCCCAAGCCACCAAGTTCTTTCGGTGTGTAAAAGACGACAGGCGGAAATCTGGAAGGCATCTTGGAATTCAGGCCGATTTTTATTCGAGTTTGGATTTTGTTTTCACATTTCACTAGAAGATCTAATAGTTCCTGTGTGTTAACAACAGCTTCGCGGAAGTAAGTCATCAAGCCAATTAGGGCAGTATTCCATTTGTTGACAATCTTTGTAAATGTTGTGGAACCCGATGCCATTAAGATCTGTCTGACTCGATTGTGGAATCTTTGAAGACTCTCATCGTCGACTCGTAAGTAGCACTGAGCAGTTCTCTCCTTAGTGATTTCATGCTGCAAGTTCCACACGCCGTCTTTATTCAAGCTTTCTTCATGCGATGTCCTCGTCTTTGGTAAAATTCTGCATTCAAACCCACTCATGTTGAACAGTAAATTTGGGTTATCTTTGCTGTAAACACTCACAAAACTGTTTTCCCACTGTATTGTCGTTGTGGATCTGGGCAATCTGTTTTTAATATCCCAGAAAACGGCCCGTCCAAGGTTCACGTCGTGTTTCATTAGTCGCATTCGAGCATCGCGTGGCCAGCACTTTTTGTTGTTGTAACCAACTATGTTTTCATTATTCGGATCCGGGTGTTCCGTGAGGTAACGCTGAATTAAATCTCGCGCCTCATCTGCAGAAAATCGCAAGAAAAGGTGGATTCTGTCGACATACCTACAGTAAAGTCGGATAGGATGAGCAGTTTCTGAGGCGATATCTTGAAATGTAAGAAACTCATTTGGCATTTGTGGCGGGCCAGCCATCTCACTTGCTCTTTGTAAACCTAAGACAAGCAGGTCGAGAATGAGACCATAATATTGAGAAATAAATGAAGCAAACTGTAAACCTCTAATCACTCCGTAGCTGTTGGTATGATTCATATCTTTGTAGTTAATGACAACGTTATTCTTTGCAGTCATGTAATCGGCAATATTGTGATCAACAATTAATCTGAGGAGTCTGTTCAGTAGAGTAAGATCAATCTTTTCATAAAGCTTCTCAAACTTGGACTCCAATAACACATTGCATTCGCCTTCGTTAACATCCCAGACATCTTGCAAGTTATTAATGCCCTGACACCACTTGTAAACAAGAAGAGGAGGCGGTTCAGCGTCAGAGGGTTTTACCCACGGTGGAAACAGTCTGCGCTTGTCAGCTTCATACCACAAGTACTGATCTAAATATGCATCTGTTATTTTTTCAAGCGGCTCAACATCATACACTGGAATAAGGTGACTATATAAATCCATAAATTCGATCCCTACTTCTTTGAAAGAGCGCTGAGTCAGAAGATGACGCTTAATTCTGGACAATGCTTCATGTGGGTTGTCGTACGCCTGTTCAATTAATCCTAGTTCTTCGCGTTGACTTTGGTTGAGACGAGACTTTACACTGTAAGCTTCTTTCAGTCTCTCTAGACCTAATGTCATAAGTTTTGTGTCGTGTTTGTAGGACAAAGGAGGGAAAGGAATTGGGGCAAACCTTCTCGATTCTAACCAATGTACAGTCGTTGTATAAATTGCAACTGCTTCCTCCGGCGAAATGTACGGCCCGTCCTGAAAAATTTGTTCAATTTTAATGTCGCATAAAACGAAAATTACAATCACTAAAATATCACATCACAATTTTTTGTGACTTGAGCTTCATTATTATTGAATATCAAGAAAATAATATTTACCTTTAAATAGTTATGTTGTCTCTCTTGTTCGGCTTTCAGATATAATCGCGTTAAACGCCCAAGATTTTTCTTGCACACCGTCTTATCAACAGTTGCTCCCCGGCGAATACGTTCTCGATTGTAATGAGCAGTATTTGTCCACCAATCTGCCTTCATCTTTACGTAACGTAAAATCATACTCTCGATTGGAATCGGTAGCCCAGGAACTTTCCAAGGAATATTTGCCTTCCAACATCTCCACGCTTCACTAAGGTGCTGAAGGATTGTTCTCGCCTTATTCTGTTTGATACCTTCTGGCATCATATCTACAATATCGTGCATAACCGACGCCCTAAGCTCTAAATCAAAGTGGGATTCAACTCTCTGTTTAGTAACAGTTTTGGCCACTCCTTTTGAGTGTCGTCCTTCAAATTGTCTGGATAAAAGATTGCCAAGCCAGCGTTCCAACAAAGGTGTAATACCCCTCATAAAAAACAACCAAACTCTCCATCCAGGTGCCCAAAATCCACAGCCAGGCCCTTTACCGACAGGACCCTAAAAAGAAAATTCAAAATTTTTCATTATTTTTAGATTTATTTATAGATTTATTGAGGCTTAATGATAGAAATTTCTGCTAGACGTAAAACCTTATGTAAAAAGCTGGCATTAGACAACGACGTGCATATGCAAGGTCCAAACGGGCCATGTTTTTTACCATGAAACTCAAGCACTCAGTCAATTGAAATTCCAAGTACTTTTTTCCATGTACTTGTGTCATTTTTAATATTCGAAAATATATATTTAAAACTCTTAATATATATTAAACTGTCAAACAAATTTTAAAGTGGAATCACTTTTGATAACCTGGAGAGTCAAATGTTTTTATTTTAAGAGAACTGTAAGTATTTTGTCATTTTACATTAAGGGAATGTATCTATGAGTGGACCACCTTTTTATTTACTTAACTCCTTCGCTGCGAGGAGCAAAATCTTAAATGTGGGTCCAAAATGTTAAGAACCTTTTTTACCATCAAAATTTTTGAAACTGAGTGAACTTAGGTTTTTAGGGTCGCTGATTACGAATCTGATGTTAGTTTTTTGAAATTAAAAATGACGGACATATTTTTCTAAAGTCGGTGGATTTGATTGAAACACGTTACTCGGGGGTTTTTGGGGTCGCTGATTACGAATCTGATGTTAGTTTTTTAAAATTCAAAATGACGGATTCAATAGTCGAAATATTTTTTAAAAATTCATCGGATTCGCTTGAAACTTATTACTCGGGGGTTTTTGAGGTCACTGATTACGAATCTGTTGTTAGTTTTTCAAAATTCAAAACAGCGTATCCAATATGGCGGACATATTTTTCTAAATGCGGCAGTTTTTGCTTGAAACACGTTACTCAGAGGTTTTCAAGGTCGCTGACATAATTTTTTTCAGTGAAAGAAATTTAAAAACTTTAATACACCGTTGGATAGGTATTGTCCTCAGCTACATGGAAAACATTTGTGTACTTTTTTTGATATATTCTTATTAAATTAAGTCGGAAACTGATAATCTGAAACTATTTCCTAAATACTTTTAGTTAATTTTTGTGTAAATGATGTTCAAGCCAAAAACACACCATTTGGCTAAATGTTAAATGTTATTTTTTCACTTTATTTACATTTCTGACATGTTTCGGTTGCCTCTCGAGTTGAATGTTTAGCAAATTCTATTTGTAATGCGCTCTAAAGAAAGAGACCTAAGGCTATATTTTTCGTCGAAATATCAAGAACTGTATTATAAAAAGTTGTTGAGGACAAACTACCCTACAAGAAATATCGAAATATTTATGCATTTTAGGGGTTTTGATGCCCAAAAAAAATATTTCTCGAAAATTTAACATTTTTTCACTTTTTCATATCAGTGGTGGAAAAAATAGCGTATACCCCAGTCTCTCCTACAAATTCTTTTGAATTTGAGTACCTAGCCATTCGCGACTAATTAGCTGACAATGGAGTATAAGCTCTGTTACGGTTAAATCTTAACAAAAACTTGATGCAGCATATTTTAATTTGAACAAATAAATTGAAAAAGCAAGAATTAAAATTAATTTAGAATACTTACAGTGTTAAAGCGATAGTAGATTAAATGCTTCAAGTCTTTACACATTCGAATTTGCCTCATGAGTTTGTACTTGTACCTGTACATTCCAGTAAGTTGTCCAACATGAGCAAAAATATATTGTAATCCATCAGCAAGTTGGAAAGCATCAACATTGTTTAAACGATACTGTACGTGAGAATCAATAATTAATTTTGTTAAACGTAAAATTTCTCGGCACAAGTGAAACGCTGAAAGAAAACAAAAAAGTTAAAAAATTTCACTCAGTAAAGACAAAAATTTCAGTAGACATTATAAAAATTACCATTTCCAAAACGAGACTTTTTCCTCTCTTTAGTTGTTAGTGTTTTTACTGGCTTCAAATTAAAATTATAATCCAAGTGAAGATAATTGAGATTTTTTCGATGAATCAGTAGATTTAACATATTGTATCCTTGACGACAAACTTGCAGACCAGCCTCAACCCAATCGACAGTTGTTGTTTGGAAAAACTTTGTTGCTTTAAAAGATCGAAACAGATAACGTTTCTTTTGTGGTTTAGGGTGCCTGTGCTTTAGAGCATTTAATACCAAGTATTTCAACAGTTTCTGATAACTGACACGAACTTTTACAGGCTGACCAGGCGGACAGTGCTCGCGATACCAAGTCTTGACTAAAGGTACATCAATTGCTCTACGTGTTCTTCCTGACCGTGTGTTAAATGGTCTTGGAGCCCAAAGTAAGGCAATGCCATTCGCAGTGTTATCCGTAAAAAGAGGAGTCTCTTGTAAAAAGGGTTCTATGTCTTCACAAAGAATAAAATCTTCATCTTCTTCCATTTGAGGCTCTACGGTCTGTTATAAAAAAATTAAATATCACTGTTTGCACTTTCACTACTTTCATTGGGCGAGATTTAACAGCCAGATATTGTAAAACTTTTTTATTATTAGAGTTAAATAATTAATTCAGAAAAATTCACTTCTGACATGACTAGATATTAGTTCCAAAAAAAAGTGACTACACTTACTAAAAGAAAATCGATCTAATTTTAATATTCAGTAAAAATCGGACAAAATCAATTTTTAAAACTATAAAGTAGAAGAATTTTTGTTGAGAAATGATATTGCTTACCTTCAAAGCTGTCCTGTGAGATATGGGATTAATTAAAGGATCAAAGTAGAAAGCAGGTAAGTCTGGATCTTCTGTTTTTATATACACAACATTTGGCGCATGATACCTAAGAAACAAAAGAATGTTTCATTAAAAGCAGGGTCAGACCATTATATTTCATCCAAACTCGTTACAGAATAATTTTTAAAAAATTTATACTTTCAAAAATGATTATGTATGATATCTAGGGAACAAAGTGAAAAGAATTATGTTAAATTTTTTATTGTTTCACTTAAAATATATAAAGTCTATCACTCTTTTAGCAATAAGAAAATATATTAAAAAAACATGGAATAAATCTTAAAAGTGTAAAAAAATTATTGGTTCGTGTTTACAATTATTTCATTTATTATGATTTATTGATTAAAGTCGTGAAAAAATAAGAATAATGGATAAAATATGTTTTCACAGTTCGTCTGTCAAATAATCTAGTTTTGCGATTTTCAATAATTATTTTTTTTTATTACATATGAAGTAAATGGACTTTTTTTTAAATTTCTGGTCACCTTTTTCATTTTTATTTTAAATATATAAGAAACATTAAGTTAAAAGTACGCAATTTCTGTATTTTTGCTAAATCAAATCAAATTTACATGTACTAAAAGTTACGCATTGGTTTATCGTATAATTTGGGAGATAAAAATATTTTTAAATTGTACTTTTATTTTTAGATCAATAAATGTAATTTGTTTAAAGTTGAAGGTAGTTCTTCTATTTATTCTTTTTTTCTTTACCGTAGATATAAAGTTGCAAATTCGCAAAAATACAGAAAATGTGTACTTTAAACTTAATATTTCTTGTATATTTAAAGAAAAAATGAAAAGTGTCCAGAAATTTTGAAAATTCTTTTCATTTATTTCATACTGGGTAAGTTGAAATTTATTTTTTTCGCCACTGACATGAAAAAGTGACTTTTTACTATCTGTTTTGGTATTTTCACTTTTTTTCACTTTTTCATATCAGTGGTGGAAAAAATAGCGTATGCGACTCTCACGAACCAATTTTTAGATTCGAATGAGATTTCAATACTCGCTGTCATTGCGACTTTGGTTCGACTTGGCTCGCCTTCTTCTCTCCTTCGACTCGTTTTCGCCTCACTCATCGCAATGCCGACTTATAATGAAAATCTCATCTCATACTCACCTAAAAAGTCTTGCTATACGTGCATGCCACATAATATACTGTTAATTACTCCTTTTTTTCACAAATAATAATAAAAATTTTATCAATTTGAAATGAAAATTTGAGGCCAATTTTTCCACAGTACATTTATTGTTAATTTATATAATTATTAATAATGATTTTTCGGCAGCTGCCGCTTCCCTCAAAAATGAGAAAACTATTTAAGGTTTTAATAATATTATAATTTTAAAAACATTAAAATAAAATCATGAATTTCTTTATTTTAATTATTTTGCAATCATTTTAAATGTAAGTATAACTTTTTCTCAATTTGATATAAAACAAATGTTAATTTAATTATTTTACTCATTTCAATTTATTTTCATTTTCTAGTAATGGTATACTGTTAACTTGATAAGGATAGCGGCAGTTGCCGAATCGTCGTTATTTATTAATAATTATATAAATTAACAATAAATGTACTGTGGAAAAATTGGCTTAAAATCTTTATTTCAAATTGATAAAATAATTCCTCAAAAACAACTTTTTTGATTTCGTTCCGTAAATAAGTAGAATTTTTTTGGATTTTTAAAAAATAAGCCGCAACGACTTTGGTTGAAATACAATGGCAATTATTTTTAAATATATTGTTAATAATAGATAAAAATGTTGTAGGTAGTATCAGCAGTTTTCTTATTTTCTTGCAAAGATCACAAATAACTTCTACCAATTTATGTACCACACTGCTAGAAAGATTAAACACACTTAATGTCAATCTTAAAACTGGTGTGATATTACGTGCCATCGGACAATTTAATTGTTCAATTTTATTATTATACACAATATAATTAAATTTTCTTACCAAGAAAGGTGCACATAATGTGGTAGATTATTGTACAAATAAGGGAAAGCAATTCTGTATTCCGTTCTTATAGGTTGTCGAATAATGATTTTATTTATATCGTTGAATTCATTCCAGTCTTCATCAGCAGAATTGCTATCTTTGACAAGAGGTTCAAATTTAGGTCCACCTGGTATGGCCATGTTTAATGCCTTTGCCGTAAAGAAAGATTTTATGTCAAAGAGATAAAAGAAATTTTGATCTACTAAGTCTGTTAAGAGTGGATTAGCTAGTCGGTAAAGTGTTGCCATCTGGGGTAAGGTCAGGTTCCATTTTCTGTAAGTCGATCCGTTAATGTACCTACAAAAAATTATTGTCATTTCAATATTTCGAAAATTTATAAGTTTCACTTGTGTGTGAATTAAGTTAAATTCAGGTTAGCGCTTAATCCAACTGCAACATCTTCCTAGACTCATCTCAGACAAATCAGCAAGCATGTTGCAGCAGTCAATCCACATTAATGATTGATTTCAGGACCCCTACGCATTTCATCATGACAATTATTTTCATGACTATACTTTTTTTGCATAACAAACTATGTTTAGAATATAGAAAACCGTTATTATTCGAAATCAGTTACAGTAGAGCATCTATAATGGTGAGCAACAACATCACTGCCACAAATCAAATTTTAGTGTAATTATATGAGTTCCAATTTCTTTATATTGAATGGTGTCCAAGTTAAAACCTTGCGCATCATTTTTAGACAACAAACTTGAATATATTTATGGTTTATGCGAATACTTTTGAAAAATTTTATAGATATTTGAAAATTAAATAACTTACTTTGTTCCAACTAGAGGCTTATGATCATAAAACCACTTCGCGACAGATTGATCTTCCTCTGAATCAAGTTCTATTTGAATAGCTTCTAGGGGTTCCACATCTAAAACATTGTCTGCGTAATCTAAAGGAGGTTCTTCGTCATCAAAAGGTGGAAACCTCATTCTTTTAAAGTGTCTGCGATCTCTTTTTTCTCGTCTCATCATCACCCACATCGTCCTAAAAGATAAAAAATAATACATAATCAGATAATACGTAATTTTGTGTTGGCTTCGGTCAACATTTTCAATTGAAAAAATCCGAAAATGATGTTTTTAAAAAATCTCCACGTGTATATATGTGTGTGGTACTAACATTACATTAGCTTCAATATTTCAGGAACAAAAAGAGCTACAGACTTGAATTATTTTTAAAATTGTAGACCTCTCGGGGATATAAAATGAAGCTATTTTGAGTCTAATTAATAAAGTTTAACTATGTTTTTTCGAGTTTTTCATTTCTTGAAAAATTTGTTTTGCTCATATTTTTAAGGGGTCTTGTAAATTTTTTAAACCGTAAACTGTAGGTATTTTAAGATTTTTTTTTCTGAAAAGTTTTAAAATATATTAAGTTGAAACTCGAAAACTAGCAAAATAATAATAATAATAATAGCAAGCATTTGAAAATAAAAAAATTGAAAAAACGTCATTATTTGATATTAGATCACTTACAGAAAGCAAAAAAATTAATATTATTAATATATTAAAAGAAGGGAGAATACAATTTTAAAGTGCACCATCTGTTGTACGAAAAGATTAATATTTTTTAAGATCATAACTTAATTTTTTTATTGTCCCAGATATACATAAAAACATGTTAAAAACTTTAACTTATATTTTGAAACTTTTAAGAAAGAAAATCTTAAAGAATCTTTAATTTATGGTTTTAAAAATTTACAAGACCCCTTAAAAAAATGTTCTGACACTTATAGGTATTTTTCTTTTATTTTGTATTTTTTTAGACTCATATTTTGATCAATTGGTTAATGTTTCAAAAATTAAATTCTAAACTGTTCAATGAATTAATTTGAATTTTTCCAAAAAACTTCCTTATACATTGATAAACAAATGTCTCACTGAAAGTTCCTTCAATTCGAAACTTCCCCACAGACTTTTTGTCGGCAAGGGTAAGAAAACGTGATTGTTGACATATAATTAAAACCTATTAAATATTGTTAAAGAATTAATTATTTTTAAGTTTTTTAATATGCTGCCGTCTTCTGTGGACCCAAACGCGTTTGTATACCAAATCCTAATTAATTTTATCAACGTTTGTCGAAGCTAGGAGGATTTATGTTTTAAAATTGAATGAAAAATGAAAATTTCAATTTGTTAATAATTTTAATTTTAACGGCATTTGGACAATAGATGTTCGGCAATACATAGTCCAGCCGAACGCCACGGCGAGTTCTTCTTCCCGTCCGCTCGTTTGAGGTAAAAAAAATTCGCGTGGAAATCTTCCCAAATGAATTCCTGAAGTTATTTTACTTACCCCCATTGAGCTATATAGACTGGTTCGATAATCCAAGGAATTTCGTTCACAAATGTAATTGCTCCCGTGATATGATATAATACTTTAACGTCTCTGATTTGCTCCCAAGGCATAGGCATATTTTCTAGTAATTTCATTACAGCATGAGGCATATACTTCAAAGCTCTGTAAAAAAGTATAATATAATAAAGTAGTGATCATAGTAGAGGTTACCTAATTTTTAAACGATTTGTTAAAAACAATTATTTTATTGTAAATTTAAAGCACGTTATTTTTAAATATTCGTAATCAGCGATCTCGAAAATCCCTAAAACTATACTAGAGTTATCAATATATTTGTTTTTCGTTTTGTCTATGAGGCGGGGATAATATGTGATATTTATAATTTTATTCACTCAAGACCAGATAATGTTCCATTATCTTGTATGACAGATTTAAAAAACATGAAAGAACACTTTCTAATCAAGTGCAACTTCTAATAGTGCAGAGTAATCAATAATAGAACTTTTTTTTATTAAAAAACAATCTAAGTTTTTGTGGTGAAAAGATTCTTTTTACTGCTACTTCCAATTTTTCCTTCATTCTGTAGACCCAAAGCTGTATTCACGAAAAAATTTTATTTATTTATATTATTATATATTGCAAGGGTTAAAGGACCTAATTAATAAGTATTCGGTAAGCCTACATCTTGTATAATAAGATACATTTGCATTAGACACCTTAATAGGGACAACAAAAAAGATATCACAACCGTTATAAATTATATTTAGGTGAAATGATCATACCCTAAATAAACACGCTTGTCATGTCGATATTTTCGACTGCTCATATCTCCATGATCACGAATTATCTTACGAATATGTTCAGGTGGCATATCTTCTTTTTGTGCATCAACGAAACCAAATTTTCGCTTCTCTGCAAAACGTTTTGACTGCAACTGCTGCCATTTTTGAGCTATATGTAAAAAGAGTTTATTTCAATTAACTGATATTATGCAGAAATTTGTGTATGCTGACAATGAAATTATGCGGTGATGCAGAATTTTTATGTATTTTATTTCTTATTAAAATTACATGTTCAATATAGGCAGCATATAAGGCATTATGCCTAAATATGAGTAACATATTCCTAAAATATAAGCTATTGAATTTGCAATTATTAAAAAAAAAAAGTTTTAGTAATTCAAACTTTTTAAAGTATAATATGACAAAATTATTTAGGGCGTTATCGGGTGTGACGGGACACTGCGATATTTCAAACAGATGAGTTGACAATGCTGCCTATTCTGATGTAAAAGTGAAGTCTTATTGTGCTAAAGCTTTTCAATATGATAAGCATTTCTTTGACGTAAAATCTTTCGATACACTGGAAGTGATTTAGTCAATTATGAAAGTTTTATTTAGTATAAGGAAAAGTGTTATAAAATAAATATTTTCAAAGTCCTGTGAACGTTTAGTACTTTGATTCAAAAATCCGATCTGACATGTAACAAAATTGTCATTTGTAAAAAAAGGTACCCTTCGAGATCACACTAGGTGGTTGTCACCCATAAATATTTTCAACTTTTTATATTTTTCTGGAAAACTTAAAAGATTCATAAAATTTTTTAAAAATGACTAAGGATGGCAACCACTTAGTGTGACCTCGAAGAGTTAAATAAAAGAACTTTTTATTTAAGTAAAACTATCACTAAATATAACATTTTTTCACCAGACTGGTACAAGTTCAGCTGCTGAACATGTACAGGGATTTTTAATAGGGTATCTACACTTTCGCATATTAACAATTAAAATTCATATTCCGGAATTAGCCTCCTGTCCGAAGTTACCCGCTTTGACGGTACTTAAAAGTCCCATAATCGCAATTCTAACTTTTTAAAAAAAAATTTATTTATTCTGTTAAAGTAAATCATTATTACTGTGTTTAAAATTTTTTCAATTGTAAGAATAGACAGTTAAATATATGTAACAAAATATTTCTTGAAAAGTCTACAAAATGTTATTATTTAGCTTACGATTTTGTAAAAAAAAATATCATTACTTTTTTTACTTCACAAACACGAACATATAATTTTGATAATTAAATTATTACACTATGTGGCGAGCTCTAAAGAAAAAGACTTAAGAAGTAAATGAATTGTATGTTACTTTCACGACAATTTTACCTTAAATAAAAGTTCCTTTAAACGAAAACTTTTTGTTTCTTTAAAAATTAAAAATTATCACTACATAACAAAATGAATGTTTGAAGAGTGCAAGAATATTTTTTCTTTATTTTGATTCATGATGGATAGAAAAATTATGAAATCAAATCAAATTAACAAATTTGTTTATGCAGGTTATTATATAATTAACTTTAGCAGGGTGTCTACTAATATCTTTCAACAAAATTCTTGGTCATTTCCCGGTTATTTCCTAATTTTTCACAGTTTATTTTTTTTTGTCAAATTTAAATTTTTTCTTGTAAGCATGAAGAAATCTACAAATATCTACAAAAATTGATTATATTTTATTAAAATAATTTTTTTTAAATTTATATATTTCTTTTATTGTATTATATTATTCTTGTATTGTAGTCAACTCAGAAGTTTTTTTAATCACAATTCGGAGTAAGCTAACAAAAAATAAAACTTGGTAGTATGATACCAGAAGGTCAAAAAAATATCCATTTTTTAAGAATTTTTTTTCAAAGAAAGTTGTTAATTTATTATAATGAAATTTCCTCCATTGGATTATGCAAATTTTTAAATATAAACAAAAATTCTAGTTTTATAAAAGTATCAATTTTCGTGACTGCTGCAACAATTTACCCATGGCTTCTCTAAAAAAAAGGTGTTTTACGATGAGCAAGATATTTTTTAACTGGATCAACTGAAATCAAGCAATGAAAAATATTTAGTTAATATAAGATCAAATCTTGTATTTTTTAAGGAATGAAAAAAATCTTAAATTTTCACAAAATGACAACTTTAGAAAAATAAATTAAATTTTTTTTTCAAAAAGTCGCAACTTTTTTAATGTAGGCTCAAAATTTCTGAAATGACCCACTAATTTTTCGATGGCGAGATTTTTATATGTCATATCAATAATTCTGTGGTTGAAAGGCATAACAGCATAACTGACATTTTTATCAAATTTGAGATAACACCAGATTCTAGTACATTTAGTAATGCTTTCCAAAGATTCATAGTTGAAAAATCATTTATGTAAGGCGTTGTCCGCAGTGGCGAGACAGCCGGTGTGGCGAGACATTAGGATATTTCAGACAGCTGAACTGACTGTGCTGGCACTTCTGGTCTGAAAGTCAAGTTTTATTGTGTTTTAACTTTTCAATATGATACATACGTTTTTGATGTACGAAATATCGCTATACTGTTAATAACAGTTTCAAGATATTTTAAAAGTTTTATTTCCCATCGGTATAAGTGATAATATATAAAAATTTCCGGAATTTTCTGAAGGGTTAAATGTTTTGAGTCTTTAGTATTTAAGTTTCCTTCAAAATTTCCAGAGCACTATGAATTATTGTTCGATGCATAGGATTGTACATCGTCATTACCGAAAAATGCTGTTTCCGCATTGGCGAGACACTTGTTGTCGGCAGTGGCTTTTTTATATCTAATAATATTGTACATGTCCTAATGAATTTGATATAATTTTTGTACGTTTTGTCGACAATATTTTTCATAACTATAGTTTAAATTGAAAAAGATGAACAGGAAGAAAAGCTTATATGTTTTTAATAACTGTGACATGGATTAGCGGCTCACAATGAGAAAAATATTTGCCTGTACTTTTATGATTGAATGAAACAATATTATGATTTAAAGGCATCAATTATTATACTCTTTCTCTTTGATTCCTTTGTTTTTGTGACGTTTGAACGATGAAGACTCTGATTTTAAGATAGTGTCTCGCCACTACGGACGATTTTTTATGTCGGTAGTCGCGAGACATTATCGTAAATCGGCAATAACTTTTTTTTCCATTATCTGTTCTGTAACTGTATAACTTAAATTTGCAGTATAGAGTCACACCTGTCCATGGATATATATACAGACTTGATGTTCTTGAAAATGTGAGTGCTATAACAAAAAAACAAAACGTGTCTCGCCACTACCGACTCTCCCTTAACTATTTAAGTAGAAAATGATGAAAAACCTAATCGCATAACTGCACTTTTGGCAATAGGCGATAGGCATAAGCGCATAACTGCATTCAGAATAAAAAAACAATTGACGTAATCTACAAAATTAAAGTAATATTTTAAAATAAAAATATTATTTATTTATTTATTATTTATTTTTATCTTATAATAAGGAATTTCATAAAAAATAAATTTTTTTATTAGTTTGACTAATTTTTCGATTTTCTCTTTTCATTAATTCTTTTGAATCACAGGTATCTTCATTCTTCTCGATATCTTCACAAAAAATATTAAATTTGAGAAATTACGGAAATGTAAACATAAAACCTAACCAATTTTATAACCTATTTTTAAAAAATATTCGTTTGATTTTTTTCATAGATACAATAAACATAAATAATAATTGTATTCTTTTGCCTTGATTATAATCATCTCCTTCAGATATATTTGTTTCAGACTCAGATTCGTACGTCGCTATTAAATTCATTTTGACAATTTATTATGACATGAAAAATAGAGTGAAGTTGGTTACATATTTAAACTTGAACAGCATAAACACATAACTGCAAAAAAACTTTCAATTTGACTAAGAATATATTAAATTTCATATGAATCCGTGCGTTTTATTAAATGTGATAAACGTATTTTAAAAATACATTAAATAATAAGACTAAATGCCGAATACCAAACACATCCGTTGATTTTCTGATTTGACAGAGCTAAATAAATATTAAAACTCATTTTTCTCAAAATCGTGACAAATGCAGTTGTGCTGTTATGCTTTTCAACCACAGAATTTTATAGTATTTTCGAATCAAAATAAGATCGTAAAGTTGTTTGGCAAAATTTTAATTTTTTCAAGAGTTATTGTTTAAACAATTTTTAAGCATCCAATTAGTAAAAAAAGCTTTTCTATACGGTTCTACTTGATGAATCTTGCTAAAATTTGATATTAGTAATATACAATAATCATGCTTTCAAACAAAAAAAATTGGTTTGATTTTCTCCATAATTTGTTTAAAATAGCAACAATTATTATAAACAAATGAAAATAAAATAAACTTCTGCGCGTAATTTCGTTTTTTTTTTGTCAATTATGATTCCCTATTTTATCACGAGTATTTCAAAAAAAAAAGAAAATTCAGTATATAGCATTAGGTCAAAAGTTATTAATATATTTGTGATTGTCCTCCGCCAACTACGTGCTACGCTGCCACAGTGGGACGAAAAACACGGCCGGTAAAAATTAAATAAAGTAAGTAATAGTTGTTTACCCTGAGTAATAATATTGCACATTTCGCTCAATTTGTCATCAATTTCGTAATTAGGAACTTAAATCAACAAAATTGTTAATAAAAATTGTTTAAACAAAAAAATTGGGGAATAATCGCCTTTTCTAAAAAGTTTCGCTAGTTTTAAGGAGGAGAAAAAACTTTTTCAACTTTAACATTAAATAAACAATTGAAATTTTTATTTTTTTTTTAAATAAAATCATAGACGTTATGCAGAATTTTATGATCTTTAAAACAAGACCAAGAACGTCAAAATCGGTTGAAATTTGTAGGCTCTACGTTAATTTGTCCAAGGCCGTGATTTTCGTCCCACTGTGGCAGCGTAGCACGTAGTTGGCGGAGGACAATCACAAATATATTAATAACTTTTGACCTAATGCTATATACTGAATTTTCTTTTTTTTGAAGTACTCGTGATAAAATAGGGAATCATAATTGACAAAAAAAAAACGAAATTACGCGCAGAAGTTTATTTTATTTTCATTTGTTTATAATAATTGTTGCTATTTTAAACAAATTATGAAGAAAATCAAACCAATTTTTTTTGTTTGAAAGCATGATTATTGTATATTACTAATATCAAATTTTAGCAAGATTCATCAAGTAGAACCGTATAGAAAAGCTTTTTTTACTAATTGGATGCTTAAAAATTGTTTAAACAATAACTCTTGAAAAAATTAAAATTTTGCCAAACAACTTTACGATCTTATTTTGATTCGAAAATACTATAAAATTATTGATGTGACATATAAAAATCTCGCCATCGAAAAATTAGTGGGTCATTTCAGAAATTTTGAGCCTGTAATATTTTTTTCATTCCTTCAAAAAAAAACAAGATTTGTTCTTATATTAAATAAATATTTTGCTGTTTTTTATTTCAAATGATCCAGTTAAAAAATATCTTGCTCACCGTAAGACACTTTTTTTTAGAGAAGCCGTGGGAAAATCGATATTTTTCGCAAAATTATAAATATTAGGGCGTTGTCCGTAGTTGCGAGACATTGCGATATTTCAAACATCTGAGTTGACGGTGCTCCCGCTTCTGGTGTAAAAGTAAAGTTTTATTATACTAAAGCTTTTCTATATGATGCGCTCTTTTTTGACGTAAAATCTTTCGCCACACAGCTGATAATAGTTTCAAGAAACTTTAAAAGTTTTATTTCTCGAAAGAAAAAGTGCCTATAAAAAAAAATTCCAGAATTTTATGAACAATAAGTGCTTTAATTTATTGATGTTTAAGTTTCCTTCGAAATTCCCAGAGCTCTGTACATGACAGTTCGATGGACAGGATTTAAAATTTAATGATAGATTTAACTATGATTTAAAATAGTGTCTCGCCACTACCGACGTTTCCCTACTTTTACTTCAAAAGTTACATAATCCAATGCAAAAAATTCCATTTCAATAAATTAACAAATTTCTTTGAAAAAAATTGTCAAAAGATGGCTTTTTTGCCTCTTGACTACCCAGCAAATGAAAACTAATTCAGTTGAATTGAAATGAATACACCCTGGGCTTCAGTGAGTCCCTTTTAGCGACAAATTCAAATTGGAACTATGTTGCAATTCTCCTGAATTCGATAAAGCTGTATTCTACTTCCAAACTCTCCAATTCGCACTAATTCAATGAACAAACTTTTTAGCTTTAATTTTTTTCAATTCGTCTGCACAAATTCAATAGACAAGTTTGTCAGTTTGTTTGAATTCTCAACCGATGAAAACTTATTTGTACAAATTGAATTGAGAAGCCGGGAGGAACAACTCGCCGAGCGCTCGGCTGGATGATCTAAAGCCAGTCAAACGATCCAAAATTTTCGAAAAATTGAAATTCAAAATTTTGATATTTAAAACGAATTACCCTCTTTGATATAAAAATGAGCATCTTTTTTTCCTTTGACTTCTTTTCATAGGACAAAAACCGTGGATATTAAATGCAAAAAACTGAAAAAAATGTCACGAATTTCATTAAATTTTTAAACTTAAATCGTCGTATCTTTGACAAATGTTAATGAAATCACTTTTCATTTCGTATACACACTCATTAGGGTACATAGAAGACGACAGCATAATAAAAAATTAAAGAATTATTTATTTTTTAATAATAATTAATTATAAATAGTGAACGGTCGGTAATCGCGTTTTCTAACCTTTGAGGAAAAAAAGTCTGTGGGGAACTTTAAAATTTTTAAAACTTCCAGTGTGACATTTGTTTATCATAATATAAGGAAGTTTTCTGGAAATTTTCAAATTGATTCATTACAAATACGAATTGGACCTTGCCAAAGAAATTAATTCATTTCAATTCATCTGAACTAAAGAGTTTCTCGTCACTTATTAAAGTAAAAAATAATTTTTTCAAGACAAATTAATATATTATAAAATAAAAAAAACTTGATTTAAACGTAAGAAAAATCCCGGTTTGGCGTAAAATTCCCTGTTAGTAGACACTTCCGTTAATGAATAAATGAAATGAAAAAAACTAAATTACATAAAATATTATTCATATATATTTAGAGTAATTTATAGAAGTAAGAAAATAATATTTTTAATTACCCTTTTCTTGCAATTTGTCTTCAGAAAGTACCTCTGACTGCTTAGGTAACTGCGATAAAGGAGATCCAGACATGACATGTATATGAGCGTGATGAGCAACTTGTGCTTGAGCCGCAGCCTGGGCATGCGCTTGTGCTGCAGCTAAATGAGCGTGAGCTTGTTGTTGAACCATCATTGTGGCCCAGGGGTTTGGTCCCAACAAATAGGGAGGTAAAGACATTTTGGCAATAGTATTCTCTAAAATCAAAAATTACTTATTAGGTATTACTTTTCTATTACACGCGACTCTTTTTAAAATAACTTTGTTTAAATATAGGGTAAAAAATGATTTAAAAAAACAACTTAAAGTTATAATAATTTATTGTTTTGTTAATTTTTTATTCCTTTTGTTATTTATCTTTAATTATAATTAATTAGAAACTACGAAATAAACAAGGTGTTCAATTCATGACCATTTAGCTTCCTGATCATGATACACTTATATTCAAGATTAAAAGAAGGATTACAACTACATTTGCAAAAAAATGCTCTTACTTGAAATTCCAAAAAATGATATAATTGAGCCTCCCAATTCTTTAACTCGGCTGACGCTCGGACGCTCGCTCTATTGGTAGTCGGGAAGCAACGAGTGAGCCATTGACGCTCGCTGCTACCCGACTACGAATAGAGCGTCCGCCCGAGCGTCGGGCGAGTTATAGAATTGGGAGGCTCAATTAATTATTTTCCAATTAATTATTTCCAGTTTCTAAAGAGAAAATTCTAAACTTTAGGATGGTAAAAAGAGTTTTTTTTATAAAATTATGTAATTAATTCAAAAAAATTTAGTTTGAAAATTAATGTTTCAAATATCTCAAAACACATTGTTTCAGATTTTGATCAAATATATGTAAAAAAGAAAGCTTAAATATTCTAGGTTTTATTTCAGTAGAGTTTGTAATTGATATTTTACAGGATTCTGAAAAATTAATAAAAATTTAGTCATTTCAGTGGCTAAAATATGTATGAATTAAAAACAACTTATTGAACAGAGCAGAATTTGTTCTTACATATGAAATTTTTGAAATCAAGGTATTGAATAACCTACCAAACATTCTCTACTATTGGGTAATTTCACGGGAGATTTAAGGTTCATGTCTCAAAGTTTTCTTATTTTTTTTTTCAAAATTTTTAAAATATGTTACGAACCTTTTTTACTTCAAGAACCATTGCAATGACTGTAAAATTTTATATAATTTTTCAAAATTCTCTGAAATGTGGGGGCGCATGATTATGTTCTAAAAATCATTAGTCAGAATTTACATTTTATCGAATTTCATTTGTCATAATTAGTTTTGAGCCGAATTTTTATTTGTTCTAATTAGTATTTTGCATAATTTTTATCAAACCGATTTTCTATATCACAGAATTTTTATACAACCGAAAATTCACTTCACAGAATTTTTATTTGTCAGAATTTTTATTTGCTCGAATTTTCATTTAACATAACAGGCATTTTAAAGAATTTTTATTGGGTAGAATTTCATTGCATAGAATTTTCTTTCAGATGAATTTTCATTTGTTCAAATTATTATTTGATATAATTTCCATATAACCGATTTTTCATACTACAGAATTTTTACTTAACCGAAAACTCATTTAATAGAATTTCTTATTGATAGAATTTTAATTTGTCCGAATTTGCAAATGTCCGAACAAACAATCGACAGACAGATTTCAACGCGATTTTTAAAATTAACCAATAAAAAATTATCCATAAAATTGTGATTGGTTGATTTTAAAAATCGCGTCGAAATCTGTCTGTCGATTGTTTGTTCGGCCATTTGCAAATTCGGACAAATTAAAATTCTATCAATAAGAAATTCTATTAAATGAGTTTTCGGTTAAGTAAAAATACTGTAGTATGAAAAATCGGTTATATGGAAATTATATCAAATAATAATTTGAACAAATGAAAATTCTATGCAATGAAATTCTATCCAAAAAAAATTTTTTAAAATGCCTATTATGTTAAATGAAAATTCGAGCAAATAAAAATTCTGTGAAGTGAATTTTCGGTTATATAAAAATTCTGTAATATAGAAAAGCGGTTTGATGAAAATTATGCAAAATACTAATTCGAACAAATAAAAATTCAGCTCAAAACTAATTATGACAAATGAAATTCGATAAAATGTAAATACTGACTATTGATTTTTAGAACATAATCAAGCGCCCCGAAATGTGCATTACAAACTTTATGGAACTAACAACTAGAATATATTTAAGCTGTCTTTTTACCAGGGACTTTAACGGAATCAAAAGAAAATTCAAAAACACTTTTGTTTTGATTCTGTTTAGAATATCGGTAACAGAAGTCAAGTTTGTTCGGATTTGATTGCGAAATCATAATCAAAAGTTAACTTAGTTTCGATTTGTTTTTAGTGAACGAAAAGTATGTAGAATTTATACTTCTGATTTCCTTTTTTAAACGAAACGAAAGTTTGACAGATTACTTCCGGTTCTCTAACTGAATCAAGTCATGTCTTAAATTATTAAGTCATACGTTTAAGTCTCAAGTTTAGAGTCACATAGCGACGGATACTATCGGAATCAAAAATCAACATTATACTTTTGTTTCAATTTAGCAAACCGAATCAAAAGTACATTTGAGGGGCTGATAGTAAAAATGGTTTAAAATAACATTGGGAGCAAAAGTGGGATAAGTGACTTGGGAGCAAAAACGGGTTAAAATGATTCGTGTAATTTATTGATAAATTCATTATATTATCGATTAAAAAATATTAATTATAATAAAATATGCATTTTTTCCTATTGTTAATATTTTTTAGTCGATAATATAATGAATTTATCAATAAATTACACGAATCATTTTAACCCGTTTTTGCTCCCAAGTCACTTATCCCACTTTTGCTCCCAATATTATTTTAAATCATTTTTAATATCAGCCTCTCATTTTACTTTTGATTCGTTTACCAAACCGAATCAAAAGCCTATTCGATTTTCGTTTCGTTACAAATATCGAAAACTCTTTTTACCATCCCAAAGTATAGAATTTTCTTTTTAAAAACTGTTAATAACAAAAGTAATTTGATTTTAATAAGTAGAAGAAATAATTATTAAAAAAATGTTTGTTAGGGGGTCATACTGAAATGGAATGCCTCATATACTCTATAAGAATGATTATTTTGTTTGATGAATTTCAAACCGACTTGAGATAAGTCGGAAAAATGATTTTTACGTGAGAAAAAATGTGAGCTGCAACAAACGCATTGTTTCCATCGCGACGAGATTTCATATTAGCGAGTTAAGTTATATAATAAATGCCAGTGTATTAATAAGAATTTTAATAAGATTTATCTTAAGAAAAATTTTGTATATATTCAATTATATTTTCCCCCAAAGAGCGTTTAAATTATCAAATTTAAAGCAAAAATGTAACCTAAAAAAATTGTCGGATAATGCGTTGTTTCAGCACACCTTTCAATGTGCAATGCATTCTTAGGATTATATATAAATTTTATTTTAATTTCCTGATTCAAATGTAACATCGATGAGATAAAAGTTGTCTAACAAAATAAAGGAGTATATTTATTGTCACAGACATAGAAATTGTCCGGTCTTTTTAAATATTGTATTCGTAAATCTACAAGTTTTTTCCATATTTTGAAAAATAAGTTATTAATGTATTTGTATTTACATACCTGTATTAAAAAACTGCAAATTAAATGTAGAACTTTCTCATTATAATACAACAATAAATCTTAACTTTTCTGGAGACTAGTTAACTATTTACCTATTCCACTTTTATAGGTAACAATTTACTTTACACATTTGGCTACAAAGAGGCATCATAACCACGGTTAGTGACGGAAGCAGAAAAGCCGATCCAACCATTTGCAACCAAAGCTACTCCTACAATAAAGGCCTTTCTCCAATATGATCTTAAGGGTACGGTCACAGCTCAGCTACTTAAGTAGGGTCGTCATGGTAACGTATAAGTGTGAGTGAAATAAAGAATGTTTTTTTACTTCTTTCACTCTTGTACGGAAGCTTCTACGCGCCACCTCGTAACAAGGCGAAACCAGCTTAAGGCCTTTCTCCAATGGAACCTAAACTTTTGCGTTGCGTTACTGACGCGTTGATTTTAGCATTGGTTGCCAATAGCAACCGACGCAATGCATACGCAACTAGTGTTCTAAAGACAGTAAATTACGTCAAGAAGAGAAAGAAGATTACGGTAATTTACCGGTAAATTACCGGATCGTTTTTTCTCTGAGAATTTATGAGAATTTTTACTTATACTTTTATCCTTGTCTGACACGTGCGTTGTCATGACAACGTGTATGACGAGGATAAAAGTACAGACATATGTTCCTGACTGTATAATTATTATTATAATGAAAAATATCTTTGTTACAATATATAATATATATATTAATATATTAATATTGATATAATATTACATTATTATATTGAATCAGGTACATTTATATGCCTGCACTTTTATCCTTGTCTAACACACATGTTGCCATGACGACGCACGTGTTAGACAATGATAAAAGTGCAGGCATATATACCCGACTGTCATCTTGTCAGTAAGAACACAGAGAAAATTAGGGTGCAGTCCCATGGAGCAGATTAGCAGCTTAGACGTTGACCAATAAAAAAACAGTCTCTAACGGAAATGCAAAATTTGCCGCGAGAGACTAACTTTTGATTGGCTGAAATCTATTCTGCTAATCTGCTCCATGGGACTGCACCCTTACAGTCTATTATATTCATTGTTCAAATTATTCATTTAATAACATGTCGGTCGTTTATTTATAACTTACATACTATAAAAATACATATTTAAATTTAAAAAAGGCAATTATCAATCACTTAAATGAATATTCTCATAAATTCTTTTTTTTTCGGTAATTTACCGCAATTTTCTTTCTTACATTCTCAGGTTTCAATTTTACCGAGAATTTTAAAACACTATACGCAACGCAAGAGTTTAGGATCCTATTGGAGAAAGGCCTTTATGCTCGTTTCATATTTAGCATACAGAACATTGATATTTCAATGTTCTTGTCGTAAGGAACACACAAGTTGGTTCGATGGTTTGACGGCTCGGTGGTTCGATATTGCTCATTAAGGCGCTTGTACACCTCACAAATTCTTGGTATCCTCGGAATTTGTCAGAGGTTTCACAAATTTTGATTGGCTTTGCTCATAGAGAATTTCGAAATTTCCCTATCTTTTGGAAATTCTCGATGAGCAAGGCCAATCAAAATTAGTATAACTTTTGACAAATTCCGAGTATACTTAGAATTTGTGAGGTGTACAAGCGCCTTTAGGCTGTGTCAGTTCATCGAGATATTTCGAGTTCAAGATATGACGTCAGAGGCCTGGAGGGACAACAAACAGACGACACAATGTTATTCTTATGGGGAAGAAAATTTGTTTCCACTTTCATCAATTTTATTCATATTTTAAACATGGAAAACGCTTGTTGACATATAATAAAATTAAAATGTGTGTTGATGATTAATTTTGTTATATATTTGATTCAATTGCATTGATAGATTCTCTGAATTCGTGATAAAATATAAATATTGAGGTTAGAAAAGTTTGTTTACTAATCACATTTTACATTTTAACAACATTATTAAACAATATCCAGTATGCATGTTATTAAAAAAGATATAAAATATATATTTTAAGTGGGAATTACCGCAGCAGTAAAAGATTTCATGTTAGTAAACAAACACCCCTAACCTCAAAATTTATATTTTATCACGAATTCAGAGAATCTATCAATGCAATTGAATCAAATATTTAACAAAATTAATTATCAACACACATTTTAATTTTATTATATGTCAACATGCGTTTTCCATGTTTAAAGTATGAATAAAATTGATGAAAGTGGAAACAAATTTTCTTCCCCATAAGAATAAAGGCGCTTGTATACCTCACCGATCCCGAGTATACTTCTGTCGTGTACCATTGGAGTAAAAGAGACAAAAGATATTTCATCTCTTTTACTCCAATGGTACACGACGCAAGTATACTCGGGATCGGTGAGGTATACAAGCGCCTTAACATTGTGTCGTCTGTTTGTTGTTCCTCCAGGCCTCTGACGTCATATCTTGAACTCGAAATATCTCGATGAACTGACACAGCCTAATGAGCAATATCGAACCATCGAACCAACTTGTGTGTTCTTTAGCTTTACGACAAGAACATTGAAACATCGATGTTCTGTATGCTAAATATGAAACGAGCATAAGTTGGTTTCGCCTCGTTACGAGGTGGCGCGTAGAAGCTTCCGTACAAGAGTGAAAGAAGTAAAAACATTCTTTATTTCACTCACTCATATACGTTACCATGATGACTCTACTTAAGTAGCTGATGCTGATTCTACACTCATCTAAAACTGCGCGAGCGGTCCGCATTTGCGTTACGTTTTTTATATATATAGATATAGTTGAATATGGGAAGCGTGACTGAAAAGCGGACCCAAGAAGACTAGAATAAGGAGGTCTAACTCAGGTAGTGGGGGTACGGTAAGTATACGTATGAAATTGGTAGTTGCAGTAGGCGGATTTTCGAGAAAGGCAGAGTGTGCGGTAGACTTCTGCGCATACCAATCAATACAAGTTACAGTAATTATTGACAAGGCAACAAAAATGTATATGTATTGGTGTGCGCAGAAGTCTACCGCACACTCTGCCTTTCGGCCTACCTCGAAAACCAATTCTTTACGTACCCCCACTACCTGAGTTAGACCTCCTTATTCCTATCCTTATTCTAGTCTTCTTGAGCGGACCGCTCGCTCAGTTTTCGGTGAGTGTAGAATAAGCATGATGACGCGTCACTGCGCTTGCGAACCAACGCGTCATTCACGCAACGCAAACATTTAAGGTGCTTTGAAGGCCTTTCTCCAATAGGATCCTAAACTCTTGCGTTGCGTATGCATTGCGTCGGTTGCTATTGGCAACCAATGCTAAAATCAACGCGTCAGTCACGCAACGCAAAAGTTAAGGTTCCTAATGGAGAAAGGCCTTTAGGCTTTTCTCCAATAGGTTCCTAAATATTTGCGTAGCGTGACTAACGCGTTGGTTTGCAAGCGCAGTGACGTCATCAAAGCATTGACACCAATCGCGAACAAAAAGTTTGGTTTATGTTTTTAATAAACTGTATTTTTTAATTATAAATATTAAATAATTAAAATTATTAAAAGCCGTCGAGAAACATTTGCATTAAAAATTGTGAAGTTGGAAAAAAGGGATAAGAGGAACATAAACCAAACTTTTTGCTCGCGATTGGTATCAATGCTTTGATGACGTCACTGCGCTTGCGAACCAACGCGTCAATCACGCAACGCAAACATTTAGGAACATATTGGAGAAAGGGCTTAAAAGGCCATTCTCCAAAAGGATCCTAAACTCTTGCGTTGCGTATGCATTGCGTGACTGACGCGTTAATTTTAGCATTGGTTGCCAATAGCAACCGACGCAATGCATACGCAACGCAAGAGTTTAGGATCCTATTGGAGAAAGGCCTTTATACCTCAAATTTCGATCAGATGAACATTATTTCTGGACCGTGATAATGCGTGAAAAGTCATTTTCACGGCGGGTATTTTTGAATTGTTTTAAACAAAAAAATTTTTTTTTTAAGAAATATAATATTAAATAATTGTTTTAATATGTAAGAACACTTTAAAATAGTGATAGAAAGATGATTTGATTGAAAAATTTAGCAAATTTTGCTTTAAAACGTTTTCTGCTACAAAAAAGTGTAAAATGGCGATGTTTGTGAAATGGTTTGTACAGTGCTTCTTCTTTGTGAGTGTCTCTCAGAGTTTTGTTTATGTTATGTCGGTTCTTTTTAACTTGTAATAAATAATGAGTGCTGAAAATAAATCGGTAAGTTGAAATGTTTATCAAATAAATTTAAATTCAACTAATTGTTTCGAATAACTGAAAGAAACTTAATATACAGAAAGTATTTGAGAGATGCGTTGAAAATTGATTTATAACCTCAAATTCACTTTTGGTAACTATTATTAATTCTATTAGTTACAATAATTCGCTTACAGCTATTAATTTATAAAATTTTTATATTTTTTGAAAGCTCATAACCAAGCTTTTCAATTGTGCCATAGATCGTTATTCCGTGGAGCTCTTCATTTATTACAAGTTAAAAAGAACCGACATAACATAAACAAAACTCTGAGAGACACTCACAAGTAGAAGCACTGTACAAACCATTTCACAAACATCGCCATTTTACACTTTTTTGTAGCAGAAAACGTTTTAAAGCAAAAGTTGCTAAATTTTTCAATCAAATCATCTTTCTATCACTATTTTAAAGTATTTTTACATATTAAAACAATTATTTAATATTATATTTCTTAAAAAAACATTTTTTGTTTAAAACAATTCAAAAATACCTGCCGTGAAAATGACTTTTCACGCATTTTCACGGTCCAGAAATAATGTTCATCTGATCGAAATTTGAGGTATAAAAGCACCTTTAGGAACATATTAGAGAAAGGCCTTTATACGTATAATATGTCATTTATGTTTTATACGTAGAAAACATCCAGAAAAGCACATTTACCCATTTCTGTCTAAGTATATAGAATATTTTACAATCGTTTTTAACAATCGTAGTAATATAAAATAGTAACAGTCTTAGAGTTTTAAAATATTTATATAAAAGACAAAAATAAAAGTGACACGAGAAAAACCTTTTTAGAGGTCTGAATCTGAGTTCAGGTCTCTATCTTAATCGAATGAAACCTCATCATTTGCTGTTTGTAAAGGCCAACGCAGAATAGAAACGTAACCGTAATTGTAAACGCAACCGGAAGAATAAGTTAGAAAAGGACAAACAATCTATCTATCCTTCTGTAACTCATTGCG